TGTGGCACAGTGTTAAAGTTTGACTTACAATGTTCTTCTTCAGACCTGGAATTCAAACCTTTTTGTAATTGCCCTAAAAGTAGGTTCATATAGACATTTAAATTGATATTTAAGTGTGGCAACAACTCAAAGGTTATTTTCAGACTAATGATTTTGTAGTCAACCAGAAAAATATTTAGTTGGCGGCTTCTCAAGAAAAAAAGGTATGGGAATTGTTGCTTTAGCAAATATATATATATATATAAAGATCTTTAGCTCTAACATGAAAGATGTTTTGAAGTTTTAGCTTTCAGGGACAGTCCCTACGATCTCCTGTTTCCTGAGGGCTAGGAATGATGTGCGAGATAAAAGCGGGGGGATGACACGCAATACAGGTCATTAAATGGGATTTGGACCCACAGTGTTGTGAGTACATGCTCTGCCTCTTAGCGCATTGAGCCATGAGGACACCCCAAATGGTTTTTTATCTCTGGGCCCATTGAGAGCGAGTATTGAGCTGACAATCCCCGTCCTCTCTGGAGGTGGCCTTTTACCTCAGCTCATTGTAGTCTGTGACTGGGAGCCCGCGCTATCTAGCATCTATTGATTCCCACTTCATCTGGACCAAAGAAGCAAAGGAGAGGAGAGAGAGACACTGAGAGACAGGAGGAGAGAGGGAGAGAGAAGGTGTGTGTGCAGCAGAGGAGAAAAAGTAAAGGAAGGGAGATAAAAGGATGCTGCTTCGAGTGGTAAAAGGGATTTAGCTCCCTTCAAGATGACTGATGTTTGACAAGTTTTTATCAGCTGAATGCAAAAACAATGATTAAACCTGGACTTAAACATTCTCAAGATATTGAAAACAGGTAAAACAAGGAATGAAGACCAGCAATGAGAAGAAAACAAAATAGAATCAAACCAAAAGATAATGAGTCTAAGAAATGAGGGGACAAAAAGGGATTGAAGGATATGAACAAAGTAAGAAAGGGCAAAAGTGAAACATTACAAAAGCAGGGAAAATTAATGGATGTAAAATAAATAAAAAAATAAAAAAAGATTCCTCTTTGCTCTCCACTCTTCCATAAGAGCTCTCCAGCTCTCCCCGCCTCACCATCTGTTGTCTCTAATTACCTGTCTAGTTGTCTGTGTATGTGTGACTGCTCTCATTACGTTAAACATACAGGGATATCAAAGTCCAGTTAAGAACTTCTTTCATGTTTTTAGTGTTGCTCCTCTGAGGTTTGTTCTTTTCAACATTTTTTAAATTACATGTACAAAAAAGTATAGGGCTGTAAAACACATTGAAATGTTATTCTATGGGCGCTGGATAGCCTAGCGGTTATGTCACCCAATGTACTGAGAATTTAGCCCCCCTTTGCATCGGCCATGGGTTTGAATCCGACCTCGGGCCTTTGCTGCATGTAATCCCCCGCTCTTTACTCCCATAGGCAGCACAGTATGCTCTGAAACACAGGTTGCTAACGATACAACCCCTCAAGTTATGCTTGTACAGAAGTGTCACCCCCGACGACCACCATGGTCTCTGCACTGACTGCGTTCATCGCAGCGGTCTTCCATGTTTGTCTTCACTGAGTGCGAATTTCCCAACTCCCACGTGTCCCACCAGCGCAGGACTGCGACGAGTCTTTCTCAAGAGTGACGTCAACAGGTTGCATGCTTACCGACCTGGATGTTCAGGTTGAGGTTGAAAAAGATCTGACATCAGTCTGATGTAGGACAATATATCAAGGTGGATCAAATATGATTTGAAAAGATCAGATTTCATGTGACTTGTGCTGTTCAAACGATAATAAAACCATCAGGTCTCATTCACATATACAATATACTATACAACAGATTGAAGTTTGAAGTATCTACATAATTCCACTACGTTTGCTGTCAGTGTAATTTCTGGCATTGCATTTTGTTTTCAGCCTCATGAAATGATTTGTTAATTTGATTCTCTTATACAATACAAATCCCAACGCTTGAAACATGAATAATGGTCCTTGCAGATTGAGTTAGACCTGACAAAGTGTTCATGTCATAGCAGTAAATAAATCAGACGGGAGATAAGAAAAGTCGCTGGATATCCTTTTAGTTTGGTGACATGTTTTGTGACATGAACAAAAGCCAGTGAGAGCCATTAAGTGGATCAAGTGTCAGAGATGGGAAAGAGGAGAGAGAGAGAGAGAGAGAGAGAGATATGATCTGGAAAAAAGAAGCAAAGGGATAGGAGTTGGGTAAAAAGACAGATGGAGGGCTTGAGAGAGAGGGAGATAGGAGAAAGTCAGAGAGAAAGAGAGATGAGACGATCCATCTTGGCACATTAGGGGGGGATCAAGTCGACACTCCATCACGGCTGTCACAGAGAGTCACACCTCCTCTCTCCTCTCCTCCGTCCATGCATCCATCCATCGCTTTGCTCGCTCGCCCCGCCAGCCGGCATTTCACTGAAGAATCTCCCCACTAAAAAGTCCTGTCAGGCCTATTTCCTTGTTATTGTCCGGCCCTCTCCTCCTCCTCCTCCTCCTCCTCCTCCTCCTCCTCCTCCTGCTCTCTTTCCTTCCCTCAGCTCTCCCAGATTAAACGCACCCTTGTTGTGCCTAAGGGGGTGTGTGTGTGTGTGTGTTTGAGCTGTGAGGTCCAAAGCAGGACATGTGGTAAGCGCGTATAGGTGTGTGTGTGTGTGTGTGTGTGTGTGTGTGTGTGTGTGTGTGTGTGTGTGTGTGTGTGTGTGTGTGTGTGTGTGTGTGTGTGTGTGTGTGTGTGTGTGTGTGTGTGTGTGTGTGTGTGTGTGAGTGTGTGTGTGTTGCCCCGACATTAATCATCTTTAAGGCGCTGACAAGCCTGGTGTGCGACATCACATCACATCAACACCCCCCCACACACACACACCCTTTCTCCCCTCCTCTTCTTCTTGTCCTCCCCTGGATTTATCTGTCCGTTCGCCTCTCGCCATCACTCACTTTCCTCAGGGAGCTTTTGACGGAGAGAGGGAGACAGCGAGACACAGGAGACGAAAAATAGAAACATAAGGGGTGCAATGACTAAAGAAAAGGCAGAAAACCAGTAAAACCAAAAAAAAACACCTGGATTTTAAAAAGAAAAAAAGACGACAAAAAAGTTTGAAAAAAAAAGAGAACCTTCTGACATATTCGCTTAAAAATATACAAACAAGATTTAAATGAAATTGCATATTGAAATGCTTAAAATGAAAACTCACACCATGCAAAATAAGCATTTATATTTTCAAAAGTTTCCTTTTGTGATATAACATAAAAACCTCAAAACAATCAAGGGCAGGCATAATGTTTGTGTGCGTGTGCATCCAGGTGTGTGTCAGTGGAATAGAAAGAGCCCATCAGCTGCAAACAGGGATTGGATCTCTCTTTGTTTGCTGTGGCGGATGGCGACGGCCTCAGCATGACTCAAATTATCTTGTCAAAGCAATAAAGGGAGATGGAGGGGGGGGGGGAAAGAGAGAGGGAGGAATACACGGAAGGGAGCAAGGTGGAGGAGGCAAGAAAGAGGGAAGGGAGATGAGCAACGGTTAAAATTAGAGTGTGGAAAAGAAGAAAGAAAGAAAGAGAACGAAAGACGAGGCAAACAATGGAATAAGGAGGAGGGGATGAGGATAGAGAAGGAGGCGAAAGAAATGAAACAAATAAATGGATGGTGGGGAGCAGAAAATTAGAAATGGATGAGTCTGGAGGAGAAAGAGTGAAGGGAGGGAAAGGTGTGGAGGAAAAAAAAAGAGGAGGTAGAGAAATAGAGGCAGAGAGAGAGAAGAGACAGAGAGTAATCGATTACCTATTTTTCAAAGTCACTTAACGTGTCCAGTGCTGCAGCTCTGTTAAGTAGCGGTGCAGGAGAATGGGAGCCCAGTATGCACACACACGCTCTGAAAAAGGGAGTGTGTGTGTGTGTGTGTGTGTGTGTGTGTGTGTGTGTGTGTGTTACCCACTGGTTGTCTCTTGATGAGTTCTCTAGCAGGAAACTGTTCTGACAGACCAATATGTGAGCAAGAATACGCGTCCCCAGGGAGGTGCATGTGCATGTATATGTGTGTGTGTGAGAGAGAGAGAGAGAGAGAGAGAGAGAGAGAGAACGCAAAGACAAGACAGATTGGGAGTCCCCCCCCTACCTGGTCCTCTTGTTGCTGCGGTGACAAGCAGTCTAAACGGGATATCCTGGCCGAGGCGGGGCCTATTGTTTCACGACTATAAAAAGCTCATTTGATTGGCTAAATACAGGAAATCAGGAAGTGTCCTCCAACATTAGGCATTGAGACACTTTCAATAGACTTTATATTTAGCAAACACACAAAGACTCAAAGGTTAACCTGGAAAAAGTGGGATGTATACTTCGAGGAATTCAGAATGCACACACACACACAGGCCACGCACACCCGCAGTGAACACAATGAAACACGCACTGACACGCGCGCAAGTACAGGTGGGCCCCGCCCTGTGCCCTGCTGATCAAGGACAATGAAGTGAGGTAGTGTTGGCAGACTCCATACAGCATTATCTCATCCACAGCCGACGCTTCTTTAAATCTGCTTTGACCTGAGAGGACACGTGGAGGCTGTGCTCTACTCCCCTTTTCGTCCGTGCGTAAAGCAGATTATTATGCACTTAATGCATGTTATTTTACAGAGTTAAACCATGATTCAAACTGGTGCAAGCAAGAATACAAAATGCTGGACTTCCCTTGAGTGTCCTTGATAAACTGAAGGGCTGTCCGCTCAATAAAATACATGTGGTACAAACTATAGGCCTGCAAACATTATTAAATCTGTGCAAAAGATTCTACACATTTGGTATTGTGAATTAGGGGAATATGCCATTCATCTAGAAAAGATGGATGGTAATATCTGCCCATAAATTTCCACTTGAGATTAATTTCAGACACACGTTTCGACACAATCTGGATACAATGAGTAGGCTAAGATTTGTTTGGTGTTGCTTTGCAAATACTGTACTCATGTTTCCTCCTTTGTTTGCTTTTCTCTTCTCCAGGTAAAAAGAAGATGTCCCTGTACGACAGCCAGGCTCCAATCTGTCCCATCTGCCAGGTGCTGCTCAGGCCCGGAGAGCTTCAGGAACACATGGAGACAGAGATGGAGCGGCTAGCTAGCATATGCCTCAGGTAGGACTTGAACGTGTTTGTTTGTTTTGTACACTAATATACTCTCACACACACACACACACACACACACACACACACACACACACGTCAGTAAGTCACTATATGTTCAGTCAATATTAAACAATAATAAGTAAAAGTCTGACCAAAATTACTCCAAGATATTGAGTGCATTTGTTGGATTACATAATCCTTTGTTGCTAATAGCTAGGCTACACAAGCTAAAGCAGCCTAGCCTCTGACATCACTCTAAAAAGGTAGAAAAAAAAAAACGACTCATTTTGATTTTTTTTCTTTCTCTTTAATCATCAAGAGGAAAAGGTTTTCTGAAATGTGCGTAATTTAAAAAAAAAATAATGTCACACTCTCTCTGTGTAATAGGCATACAAAGCAACATTTAAGCCTAGCTCTTTTTTCCCTTTTTGCCAGAAATGTCTCCATTTAATTTTGTATTTCTTTGAGTCTACGTAATAGGAGTCGTATAAATAACTTTGATTAATCTTTTGCTAATGCTTTGGTCATATCATAGCTTTAGCTTTATTTAAGCTCCAATGAGCAAAAATCTAGGCTATCTCTAAAAGGTTAGGTTCATGACTCTTTAACCAGCGTTGAGCTAACCAAATAAAACTTAAAACTACTCTTTCAGTGTCTATGAACTGTCTTTGTCTTTTTACTTCTAATAGCTTAGTTGTTAGCTCTTTTCTTTGTTCTTTCCCTCGATGCTTTATTAAGAAAAGAGCAACAGGTTACAACAAAGCATATTTGTGTTTGAATGCTAATAATTAAACTCATATTAATCCTCTCCTGATGAAAAAATGCAAATAAACCAGACAATTTTGGTATTTTTTATTCAATCCTCAAGCCTGAAGTCTGACAAATTAATTAAACATATATCTTCATTACTTCCATTGAGTCAGGGGGACATCATATTGATAGTAGAGAATCAGGTAATAAAAAGGATTTTTTTAAGACAAATATTTTATTGCTCATAAAGATTATCATTTTTTAAAGCATGGGGTTAAGGCAAAGCTTTAACTCAGCTTTTATGTCGTGCTCGCTGACTGCTATTCTTTCTGAGCGGAGATTTGGGTGCCATAAATCTGCATAAAAGGCAGAGGCATGCCGTCGACGTAAGGCTAAGTGTTTCCTGCGGGGATAAGGATTCAAACCTGTGACCTCAGGTTCACTGCCGCCCCTCTTCTTCCCCTCCTGGCAGTTGCACGAGCTGTTTTTACGGTGGATAAATCAACTCCAAGCCCTTTTAACGATGGGACACAACCATTAGGATCCATATTTCACCTTGACCACACGTCTGGCGGCGTGCGTATGTGTGTGTTTGTGTACATACGTGTGTGTGGCCTGTGTTTATGAATGACCCGGTGGCCACCTTAGCGGCCTAGCTTTATGATAGTCCCCATTAACCTGGGGGAGCAGGGCAACACATAGCGTCACCCCACGTGGAAATCACACTTCATTTACCCCCGTTTACACCTCCTGCACCCCTCCTCCCATCTGTCCATGTCTGCAATATTTACTGTACTTCTTCTCCTGTACACTTTTATATTTGTTCTACCTTTTCTTTCTTCTTATCATCTGTCTGTTATCTTTTCATCTTATGTCCTATATCTTTAGCTGTCCCTTTTCACATCTTTCTGTTCCTGCTGTTTCCTCCCTTCCCTCCTCTGTCAGTCAATTTTTACTTATCATTATGAAGGGGTCTACATGTGTATCTCTTCCTGGCTTTTAATTATGAACAGGGGAGGATGTATGCAGAGAAAGCAGGTGTGTTAAACAGCTTAGCATATTTATGTTTAAAATTGGGGCAGCATACTCTAGTGACCATATTTGTGACAAAAAGCAAAGGTCAGATAACGAAATCCGGTAAAAAAAAAAAAAAAAGTAGGCCTATAGAAAGCATCAAAGTCATAGGATAAGTTCAAGAGCGATTGATTTATTCTTAATATCCTTACTTACCTCATGAGACCAGAGTTTGAGCCCCATGGGAAACCAATGCTTAACACTGACTTCTTTTTACTTGGACTTATTACTTCACTTAGTAATCATTTTACACACACACTTAAGCTATGTAACCCTTGAGAATAATTTAAACATTTTAAGCATGGTATACTTATTTTGACCAAAACCTATAAATGCGCCAATTGTAAAAATCAGTGACGACATGGATTAAAAAACATTTCAGCCAGTTACTGATTATGATACCGATGTTTTGCTTTTATTGTCTGCCATTGATAGGGAACCATATTTGTAAAACACTCCGGTTGGTCATCATATAGAAACAACATTGAGTCACTTGTTGAAAAGTTTGTGTGAGTAATGGAGAAGAATACAGATGTTTTCCACAGGCAGTATAATTTCTTCCTTCCAGAATGAATCAATAGAACCATGAAAAATGGAGGGAGGTTTTGAAATAGGAATAAAAATGTGATTATTCAAAGAAAGAAAAGCTGGAGGGATCCAAGAAATAGATATAATACCTTACAAAATAACTTCACAGTGACATAACTTACATACACTTTACATAGCTGTAGTTACATAGTGGACAGAGATAGAGAAGACACACACACACACACACACACACACACACACATACACACACACAGAGTGCCGGGGCTGAGTGAGGGTCATCCATCCATCACTGTCTGATATGGTGAGGTGTTGTGTGTGTGTGAGTTTCAATAATTAATAAAGGTTAGTCATCTGCCCTCCCCTGTGTGGCTTAGAAACACGGTGTAAGCTTGAAATTCACACACACACACACACACACACACACACACACACACACACACACACACACACGCACACAGTTATTTAAGGAAATAGCGTCATCCTCGGGTGAGATGAGATGGTGGTTAACGTCACGGCTGGCTGATTTAGACACTCGCCATTAACCCCTCCTGTTTCTACAGACACATGCACACACACACACACACACACACACACTTTGAGAAAAAAAAGAAAAGACAGGAGAAAATAAAATAAAGATATGGATTATATTTTAAGATATAAACCTTTTCTTAAACAAACAAGCCAACACAGATACAGTCTCAATGTAACATTTCCAGCTAAAAGAGTGTCTGCTTGTTTGATTTCCCACCTCATTCTATATCACATATCACACACACACACACACACACACACACACACACACACACACACACACACACACACACACACACACACACACACACACACACACACACACACACGCACAGATATACTGCATGCTGTCTCTCCCTCTCTCGCCTCTCTGCATGGTAGCAGCCATCATTGAAAGTGACAGTGGGAATTTGGTCCAATTTGTAGTAAATCTGCCTTTAATGACGACCAGCGCGGCTGAATGAAAGAGCTGTGGGTATGGAAACGAAGGTGTGTGCAGGTTAAAATATGTCGGATTGAGAAATGTGTGTGTCGTCCATCTGCCTGGTCTCTGCTAGAAGTATCTGTTCTTCTTTTTCTAGTTATTCCTTATTTGTCTATCCCTTTTTTTACCGCATATATGAATGTTGTACATATACCAACCTGTCGTCTTTTTGTGACTATGAGTCTATTTGCATAGACATGTGAATCACATATAAAAACACACACACACACTGTTGAGTAAACGGAAATCTATCCTGCCCTGTACATGTCAGGTGGCTCGTGGGGCAAAGTCATCTACATACCCCATCACCCCCTCCTCTCTTTTCCCCTACTCCTTTTCTTCCTCTTCCTCCATAATCAATTTGCCTCCACATCTCCAGCAAACGACACAAAACGGGTAAAAAGCAATCAGTACTTTGGGGTTAGCACCATCCCTCCATTCCTCTCTGTTCCGCTCTCTTCCTTTCACTTTCTCCTCTCCTCCTTTGGAAGAGGTGGATGTGGGAGGGACAGAGGCCTCAGCTAGCCGCCACTCAGACTCAAGCTGTCTTGACTTGTTTGGGACTGATGCAGATTTAATCAGGTTTTGGGAGGGGGGGAGTTTTCCTGAATGGCATGGCTCTAAATTACGAACAGGTTCAATTCAAACCAGAAGAGGCCGTTCCAGAGTCAGCTCATCTCGACTTAACTTCTGCTAAAAAATAGTGTTGGTGTGTTGGAAATGATTTAAAACAGGATCATTAGATCTCTTAAATCTATTCTAAATGTGTACCTCAGAGACGTCAATGTAAGGACTAGTTGGAAGGTGTGTTTTTAGTCTGGCTTTCATCATTCTCGCCCCGTTCTCCCGCGTGTCATCACCACAACACTTTTTAAAATGGCTTTGTCTTTCCTCTTTTATTCCCCCCCCCTTCCTTCGTTCTCCCCCCTTTGTGTTTCTTCCACTTTGCTGTGCTGCTCATTTCCACCCCTCGTCTCCTTGCTTTGACGCGGCAGGCAGCAGGAATTGCCAAACCTATAACCCTCGCCATCAAAAATTCATAGAACCAGCCAAACAGAGGCGACGACGCACCAACTCTCCCATCACTCCCTCTCTTTCTTTCTCTTGTTTTCTGTCTTCTTTCATCATTCCCTCGCTCGATCTCTCGCTTTACATTTCTCTCTCCCACCTCAGATTTCATCTCCTTCTACCTCTTTTCTTATTTTTTTTTGCTCCCTTTCATCTCTCTATCAGCCCTCTCTGTCACTGTGGCAATTTTCTCCCATCGTGGCAGCTGCTGTCCTCGCTCTCTCTCTCTCTCTCTCTCCCTTCCTGTCTGCCCCTCTTCCCCCGTCTCTTGTCGCTGTTTGACACTGTCAACGAGCAGGTGGAGGTGGCTGTTATTGTTGATGCCTCTGCAGAGGTTCCAGGTAATGAATAAAAGAGAGATGACAGAGACAGAGATAGAAAAAGGGGGGGGAAAGAGGTGGTGGCGGCAGATTTCCCTGCATTACACAGCAGCTTGACTGTGTCACCCATGTTTATTCTCTTTGTTGGCGGGGGTGAGGCCCACTGTTCAGCTCTCACACACACTCAAGACATGCACACATACACATGAACACAGCGAGACGATACGCACATCCACAGGTACACATGCACAGCACAGGAACAGTGACACGTTTCTGTAGGCGGTTCTCCACTTCCCAGCCAAAGTGACACTATCTGTCCTTTTTCATCACATATCCCTTCATATGACTGTGAAGCTATGCATTATAGCTCTGTTTTACATGCTCCTCGTCTTGCTCTCCTGCCGTCCTGTGAACCACTTTGTACTGTATATGTTTCTCTCAGTTTAGTTATGTATAAGTAACACTTCTTATTCTTATTACACATCCAGCTGTCCATCCCTTATTTCACCAACACATGCTGTCAGATTATAGGCGTATAAGCGTGCGTGTGTCCAAGAGGCTCTGCAGTGCCAACAGGGTCTCAAAGCAAACATGACAACCTTGTCTAGCTTTGTCAACATCATGCCTGTCTCAATGCTTCAAGAGGCTCAGAAACATTTATCTCTGTGTTCAGAAAGTCAGAGAGAGAGAGGCAGAGAAGAAGGATGATGAAAAGGATAGAGAAAGAGAGAGAGAGAGAGAGAGGCTGAAGAGGAAGAGAAGAAGGATGACGTAAAGGATAGAGAAAGAGAGAGAGAGAGAGAGAGGCTGAAGAGGAAGAGAAGAAGGATGATGAAAAGGATAGAGAAAGAGAGAGAAAGAGAGAAGAATAAGAGAGCCAGAAAATAAGGAAAAACATTGATTTGAATGAAAAGAATCAGACGGTTAAAGCAAATTAAAATATTTATTGGCCGAAGAGCCGCTACTTTATATCCAGGGTTTCAAACCTCAAATGTCACGAAATTCATGCTATGATGTTTCAATCTGCTGCAACATTTCCCTTTTCCTTTCTAACATCTTAATACATCCCTTCCCTCTGCCCCCACCTCCTCTCTTATTTACAAGACAGCCAATTGTCCTCCTCATATTTCAGAGTCAAAAAGTGACTGTGGACCTACTGCTCTGACCAATCAGATCTCTGCAACATTTCCTCCCTGTGCAACTACAACAATGTCATGACGTCTTAAGTACATAACAAACTCGTTGATAGTTATTTTCTCTAATCCTACAAGCAGTGATTTTTTTTTAGTATCACCTGTGTATGGATCACGAGAGATAGAAGAATAAAACATCTGGTGGATTGGTGTTGAGTAGCCCATGTGTGAAAAGCATGGATATTCATGTTTTTTTTTTAGAATAATGGCACACATTCTGGTGTTGAGGAATTCAGCTTCCAAAAAGACATAGTATCTTTAAAAGGAATGATCTGTCAGAAAGAAAAAGCACGCAGACAGATGCCAGATTCAACTCTGAACTACGCAAAAAGACAAAGTCACTACATTCTGTTTTGTCTTCTTTCTCTCCTGCAGCAAGAACATCTCACACAAGGATGGAATCATCACTCCAGGAACCCCCAAGGTGAGATGAAGTTCAGTTTTTATATGATATGATGTCTGTATTTTTTATTCAGTTTCAGTGTATTTAGTTTGCATGATTCTTCTCTTTATTTTGTCTGTATTTAGGTATGACTTCAATGTTTCCTTTTTGCTCCTCAAAAGGGCTTAATTCTGACCAATAGAATTACCGGAGCTGTGTTCCCATTGTTACAAAAAAAAAAGGAAGATTTCAAATTAGTAGAACTTTTATTTTGATCATTTTTGGATTATTTGTGGTGTACTGTAGTTTCTACCGTCCAAGTCAGAACTGCTACTCTGCTGCCTCTGTTCCTCTCTGCTGCACTGAGGGAAAATCTGCTGTACTCTAGCCCTCTGTCTTGTGTTTTTTACACACACACACACACACACACACACACACATGCATGCACGCACACACAAGTACCAGTCTCCTGTGGTCTATCGTGCAGTGGAGCCGAGAGGCACTGTACTGTGATGGATCCAATTAGAGAGACTGAGATACAGACAGACAGAAAAGGACAGACACATGGTGCAAAGACATGTTCATAACTCAGTCATGCATTCCCTCACATCGGGTTAAACTGGTGTCAGTTTTTTTTTCTTCCTGGAAGTAATCACAATTTCCATGTTTGCCTTCATTTCCAACTAAAGACCAATTCCAGCGATAAAGTCAGATACCCTTTTGTGAAGAAGTTCTTCCAATGAGCGCATAAATTTATCATAAAAGAGTCATTCAGAGGAGCCGTTTCCTTTCCCACACACCTCAGGGTGCTGCCCCCCCAGCTTAAAGCGACCCTCTGTGTGTGGGCTTGCACTCGAGAAAGGCAGACAGAGCAGGAGTGAACATGGCCTTCTTCTCTGGTCGTGACTGTGCATCTCACTGCTGTCGTTTAGTATTCAGCGCGGGGCCGCGGTGAATGTTGAGGGCTAGTCTGAAGCACATGAGTCTGTTGTCGCCGTCTCGTCACAGCAGTGCCCCACCCGCCCGTGTTAGACTGGAGATTAACCTCCACGCACCCTCTTATAGGGTGTTTGGCTCACTTTGCATGCTCCTTTCTTAGCTGAGGTGATAGGATTAGACTGAAAACATGGCATCCCTGCAGGGTCGTGCTAATGTTGGACACTGACTCCCCTCTCGTGCATGCTAAAAGATTTTAGGCCAGGCTCAGATTACAGATTCTAGGATTCTGCCCCTCCAAAAAAATCTCAGTAGGATGGGACCAATATTCAGCCAAGGTTTTTCTCAGATGTTCTATAATGGAGGCGTTAACTGTTCCAGTCTTAAACATACTGACCAGCTTGTGCTTTAGATTCACTTGAGCTGCCAAGAGAACAGAAAATAAGAGAAAGATGACAAAGCCACTGTTAGCTTGCTATTTTAACAGAAAAAAAAACGACATTCCTGGTTCGAAAAGTTAGATCTCACCTCCAGTTCTGACCAATTAATAGACAATCTGGGAGCCCTGGATATGCTAGCGGTTACATCGAGCTCCCAATGAACAGAGTCCTCGAAGTAGGCAGCCCCCTATCGACTACGATCCCTCAACAATTTGCCGCATGTTACTTCACTCTCTCATCCCTATTTCCTACCCTGTCCACTGTCCTGTCCTCTACAGGAAAGACATAAAATAGCCTAGAAATTCATGAAAAACAGACAAAAAAAAGAACAGACAACACAAACCAAACCCTGATGTAAACGCGTTTTGATATATTACCGTAAATGCAAAACCACAACAGACACTATATTACAGTCTTTACAGTCTCACTCCGTCAGGGTGTAATTCCAGTTTCATGCCTGGATGTAGCTTTAAATGCAACCTTTTTGTCGATGATCTCTCTTCATAGTGATTTAATTGGTTGGTTTAAAAGACCAAAGTTTCAATGGGACATCTTCATTTATAATGTCCTCACAAAATACCGTTAAATGTCATATTCTAATGATAAAACTTGAGCATATTCTCAGAACGCCCCCGGGTAAATGATTCTCGACCTTTTTAAACCTGTGTAAAAGAGGAAGAAAAGACCACACACACACACACACACACACACACACACACACACGCTCACACACACAGAGGCATAAAAGCATCATGCATAATGTCCAATTTACTGTGGCAGCACTGGAGGTTGGTCATTTCTCACATATTATTATTAGATTACTGCTGTCGAGCACTTAAGCCTCTGCTCTGCCCCTTTCCACTTGATTAATAGGAGACGACTGTAAATACAAATATTTCATAGCTGCCTTGTAAAGAAGCAGCAGCACGGGCACACGTGAAAATTCAAGCACACACACACACACACACACACACACGGTTAGAGTTCTGTCAGGGCTTAGCCTTGTAAAAAAAAAAAAAAAGAGGTGAAATTTCTCCTCTTCTCCTCCCTTGTTCTCTTTCTTTCACATCATTATCTGCTCACTTCTTCTTCACTTGAGGAATTCCCTGGATTGTCTTTGTCACAGAGTGGGTTAGAAGAGGACGTGTGTGTGTGTGTGTGTGTGTGTGCGTCTGTGAGGGTAAACTGTGTGTGTTTCTGCAAAGTGTTGTGAGACAGATTTATAGACAGGCAGTGTCCCGTAATGTCAGACAGTTACGCTCCTCCTTGTCAGATGTTTACCCTTCCTCCTCCTCCTCCTCCTTCTCTTCTTCCTCTCTGTTCAATCACCCGTTCTTCCCCAACTCCCCTTAACGTCCTATAAACATTAACTCTAATCAGTGGAAGGGACTTTATAGACAAAGTCAGGCAGGTTACAGTCATCATCAATGATGTGTCGCTCTCAGCATCTGTTGCAATAAAACTCTCGAAGTTCTCCAAGGTTAAAGATTCTTGTGCCCTGTTGTTTTTCTGTTTAACATATCTCTTATACTGTAATAAAGATGCAAACTATAGTATTGGAAATCAAATTGTTTCCTGATTGATGTAAAAGAAGTACTTCAGGATCTACTGTATTAGATGTGTGATGTCATGGTTTTTCCTGCTCTAGAGCTATGTGTGTACATCATGGCTTTTTAAGTCATATACATCATATTATTATTATTATTATTATGGCAGTGTTTAATTGTGTCTCTCAAGTGAATTTGTCTCTGTATTTCTTGGATCAGATTTTTTTTCCCTGACCTTGTCCTTGTTAACGGTCGTTTCCATGCGAGCACAGGTTCTGCTGTCATCGTTGCTCCATAGGTGGATATCACAGTGTCATCTGCATATGGACGATTGTTTTATTTCTATCTTTCTCTTTCTCCAGTCGATGCTTCTGTCGGTGCACATCAAGCGTGAGGGAGAGTCTCCCGTGGTCTCGCCTCTGTCATCTGAAGACATCCACCACTCCGACAGATACCAGGTCACACTCAACGACTCACACACACACAAATACACACCAAACACACACACAGACAGAAAGGTTTGAACCAGAACACTTGCATTAGCACATTTTGTCCTGATTGGGTCTTAGTTAACATCTCCAGGGAAAGTATCCAGAATACTCTAAATGTAAAATGGAGCTCTGAATCCAAATGTACACACTCTGGACTGACTGATTCTCAGATTTGAGTTGCACCTAAAAGTTCAGTATCATCATATTTAGTCTGCAAGGCTGCAACGCTTTACACGCTGCTGGAAGACAGGCCTAAAATCTAAAACAGAAAAATGCATGATGATTATCTTCATAGCCGACACTTTTACATATTTCTGTATCATGATATTGCTGCATATTATTTTTTACAGGATTTAAGAAAACTTTAAAAGAGTTGTGGTATTCCCCCATTCAGAAGAAGTTAATGTATTTCATTATTAAACAAATAGGAATAACTAAAATGTCATTTCTTCATTGCAAAGAATGAAAGAAAATCAGCAGAGTCTGCACCCTCAGCAGCCTCTCTGAAACTCTGTGAAAAGTCTACTCGAGTCGTAAACGTGTCATCGCACAGACCTCCAAGTAATGAATCTCCAAAGTCTAAAATTCTACAAGACCAATATGACAGTTAATGCAGACCAATGCTTAAACAACAAAACCGTGACTCAGTAACACAAAACACACAGAAGATGCAGCATCCAAAAATCATCATAGAGCTGCATATATTGTTTTAAAATCTGGTTAATTGTTAATTAAATAAAGCTCCTTTATTTCTTTTATGATTTTCTCCTGCTCATCCTCAGTGCTACTCTAATGTTCTACTTTTAATAATTTAAATGAAAGAAAATGGATTGAAATGGAAAATGCAAAGCAAGCTTTTTGAGGCGTCTGAAATCATGACACTTCCTTTAGTACTGAATCGAACTGTGAACTCTCTAAATATGACAGATATTTAACGTTGGGGTAGAATTATGTCAGATCTGGGGGGTTTTATGCCGTCTCAGCAGTTTAGTTGACCAACAGGCCAAATCCCTTAAATTTCAGAAATCTTTAAAGCTACCCTGCCTGCTTTTATCTCTTAAATTCATCAAAGTTTGTTCATGTAATTCTTCCCGGCTATGATCTATGTCTGGGTTAAGTGGGTTTCCCCCCATCACACCATAAAATAGGAACTATTAAGTCTCCGCAGACGTTACATCCATACGTTCAGGATGACACAGCTCATAAAGACCTTAAAGCTATAAAGTAGATTTTCTCATTAAGTGAAACTGCTGAAATCACCTTATATTATACAAATGATTAAGTCAATGGTGACTCTTTTCACCACCCTGAAAATGAAGTGTAATGACAGACTTTGCCACCTTCTCTTTAGCTGTCAGTCCATCTCAGTGCATCTTACCTCTCGTCCTGCTCCCTTCTTCTAAACACCTGACCTATCTGCAGACATTCAGTCAGTGGATCATAATGATACTGGAGCAGTGGCGATGTGGGCCGATAACTCAAGGGGCTACAGGGAGGGGGGGGGGCGAATGGGGGATGAGAACAGAAGTGGAAGTACTTCCTGCATGACGGCTCTCACTGATGGACGACAGCTGCCTACTCACTGTTGCCGTGTCAACGAGAGGGCATCCATAACTGCAACTTAGTCAGCATATCACTGAAGACTTACAGGCCCGTGGGTTTGAATCACGAGATCCGAGGTGCACATTCTACAAGTGACAAAAGAGGAGAGGACAACATATGTGACCTCAGTTCATTTATTTCTTAATGCTGCATTTTTAATGATAAGACCGTTATTCCTAATGATGCAAAGAACTTACCCCGGGCATCCTGAACTACCCAAGACCCCACTGCCCCATATTCACTCATATAAATATGATGACACAGATATAGTCAACTTTGCAGATTTCACGTACAAAAATGTAAAAAAAGCGGTTTGTGGCGTCCTATCTGACATTGAAAAGTTCAGCTCATAACAGAATTTAAAAATCATCCTGTAAAAGAAAAAAGATTAAAAAAATGATATACAGTTTTTAATGTAGCAGAAATTCATGTTTATCCATTTTCCCTCCCGACAACCAAAAATATGTATTTAGTAACCTTTTTAATGATACAGTTTGGGAACCAATTGGATACACTAAATGTCTATTACACGTATAATAGCCTACTCACAACAATTCAGGTACAACGGACACTCTGAAACTACTACTTTCACATTTCATACAACACATCTGTTTTATGCTTGTTTGTATTTGTGTCTGTGCTGCAGGGCTGATTGTCACCAACAAAATGTAATTGTATGCTTACAATGATGATAAAGTATCTTATCCTAAAGTACATTTTGCTGATAGCACTTATGTAGCCTTCTTTTACAAACAATTTTTATACGCACCATTTTTACGTCATTTTAACCTTTACTTTTTGTAAGGTATCACCTACATTTGTCACTACTGGTTGCATTAAAAATACTTCCGTTTATAATTTAACAAAACAAACAATTCATTCTTCATTCTGTGAAGAGGCCTATTTGGATAAACAAGAATAAACTACACTTTAAAAGTGGAAATAATGTTCAAGAAATTGACAGGTTTAGTAATAAATGTAACACAGCAGTTTTTATTTAAAATAAATCTCTTTATTGGATACTAACACACATTACATAAATGAGAACAGAATGCCAGGGGGAGGATAAACCACAGATATAAGGTGATTTAAAAAGAAAATAATAACAAAAGATAAATTAATTTAAAAAAAAAAACATGAGTACTGTACTGAAATGAGAGCAGGATTTACAGGGGAAAAAACAGTGGATAATTTAAACAAAAAAAATAAATTAAATACAGCCACTAACAGTTCTGATAGCCTTCTTCATGCCTTTAATTAAAATGAGACCGTCTAATGAAACGCCATGCTTCCCCCTAGCGGCCGATATCCAGAGCAACATGTGACGTTTCCTCACTTCCGTCTCCAGCGGGTCATGTGATCAAAACAAGCCAACATGGCGTCGAACATGAGCAGACCCAGCCGATACGAGCGCCACTTTCAATCCCTCTCCATCCGTATTTAAAAGTAAAGAGCAGCTGTAGTTTGCAGTGATGTTTAGTGTCGGGAGACATCGTCCTGTGCTTTGTAGCTGTGAGTTTTAGCGGCTGTTCAGAGAGCTGTGAGTGAGGCAGACAGTCATGGAGGATGAGGAGAACAACAGAGGAGTAGGTTTGTTTACTGTGCTTCACTCCCTTCAGCCCTGCAGCATCCAAAGCAATCTCACTCTGAGAAGTTTTATCTGCACTTGTAAAGATATTATAATGATTCTTTATCGTCTAATCTATATTTCCCCCCTCTTCTTTCCCCTCTTCTTGCAGACGTTTTTACGAGTTCGAGCTAACAGACAAACCAGACTGAATGGTATGTACACACAACATCTCATCTCCAGAGTGATGCTTAATAATGATGATTTATTGACTTCATGTCGATATTAAGAGTTTATTACTGGGCTCAGGCTTGTTTCTGTTCATGGTGGTCAAAAAAAAAATACTCATTGATATGAAAAGTGATTAAAAAAATAATTACAATGAAGCTAAGTGTTTCTATTTGTACAGTTCTTAAAGTGAATTATAAATAAACAATTCCCACAAATCTCTGAGAAATAATCTATCATCTTTTAATTCATGATGATGACATTATTTTAGTTGTATGATATTGACGTTATGGTCATTTATTACCTGATGTTTTCATTTTAAAGGAGCTTATTGTACAGATTTGTTTTCTGTCAGGTGTGTCAATTATTGAGTAAAGTTTGTCACCTGTGCATCTTCTTTAAACACTTGATTGTGTTTATTAATGTTTATTAGTCCACTGAAAGTATTTATAAAGTTGCTTGTGATTATTGCAAATATGTTGCATACATGTTGTTTTCATCTTGTATGTTGCATAAAGTACCTTTATAAAAAAGAATATGTATTTCTTTATTAAAGGTTTATTTGATGGTGACAGATGAAATATACATAGATCAGATGAAAACATCAATCCAATGCAAGTATCATAGTGTTAGTAGTGTTTACTATGGATGCTAGTTTGCAACACTCATCCCTAATAGGGCTTTTGTTTTAATGAAAGATGAAAAATAAAGCGTGAACTGAGTACAGCAAGATGCAACAAGCCTCGCGTTTAGCGTTGACGATGACAGCTGTGTGTGTGTGTGTGCAGTGTTAGCACAGTGTAGCGCCTGTTAGCCTCAGACTGTTCACAATGTGGTCGTCTCGTCATGCTTGAATCAAAATACAAGTATTTAAATGTTTTAAATCACTTAACGCGCACTCTTTTCAAACTCGGTATGTCGTGATAAAATCTCACTGTTATTTTCAGAATCCTCAGACATTTAAAAAAAAAAAAACGTTTCGTCTTGTTCATAGACAAGAAAAGTTGTAAATCGAGAGTTTCCTAATCAGGGTAGACATGATCACATATTTCCTCCACTGAGTTTTCCTTCATCCAGATCCTTAAATGTCATTTAATTGACGTTTTAAATACTTGTTCAGAAATGTTGTAGTTGTTGTAAAAGTGCTACTGCTTTTGTGTATTTCATTTGTACAGAAATGGGTTATTTATCTTGTTTTGAACGTTATTGCACAACATGACACACAAACTGGAGCTGAGCTCTGAGCCCAGGCTTCTGAGTGTCTGGCTTAGCTTTCATCATGAGGAATTACTTTACTCTCGCTACTTTGTGTGCGACACATTCGTGAGGGATAATTCATAAGTCTGAATCCTGTTCATGCTCAACCTCACACTAGCATGATACTACAGGGACTGGGACTTTGAAAGTCACAAATATGTGCTGTTAAATGAGACCCCGTTACACATTGACATCGCACGTGATCAGTGTCCACAGAAGCAATGTTCCCTAATTTTCCATGTAACAACAGACCTCCTTAGTAGTCTTGTTGCTTTATCATTCAAGCAGAATCTGAAAGGAGTTCCTGCAGATCTTTCTAACATGCTCTCAGTGTCCAACAGAGATCATGAGCACTCCAGAGTCAAGTTTTTATGTTTTCCACACAAGTATAAGTGACAGTGTTGCTGCTTGAAGTTCTAATACCTTCATGAATTCAAGATGATCTCCTTTTTCCCATCGCCTCTGTCAATGAGAATGAAAGAATATCAGGAGTTAGCAGTCCTGAAGTGATGCACTGATAACTTGGCCTTCTTCACTAAGAGCCCATGACAAGACTTGGTTTAAACTTGGCCCTCCATTACTTTCTCTCTGCCCTCATGTGGAACCAGGAATCATTCTCATGTGGGGCATTAAAGCGGAGCTGGGAGGGGGGGGTGGCCGAGATCCCTGCCGGACCTAATTAGCAGCCCCTTCCCTTCTCTATTTAACAACGCTCCCCTCGATTAGCGTCAGGGGAGAATGGACTAAGAGGAGGAGGAGGCACTCCCAGCCTCGCTCCCTCCATCTTCCTCTCCTGCACTTATTGCCTCGTCTCCTTTTCCTCTGCCTCGCCATGCTCCCTCTTGGCCTCCTCTGCTTTCCCAGCCAGCTAAAAATTAATGTCCCCTCGCGCCATTTGCAGTTAAGAAAAAACGACAGCGACTCGGGGCGCGGTGACGGCTGTTCTGCTCTGTTAAATTTCTAATTAAATGTGTGTGTGGATGGAGGGGATGGAGGGGGGGGGGGGGAGGCTGTGACAGGAGGACAGGGGAGGAATGGGAGGAGAAACGGAGGGAGAGGAATGGCGTGGTTGTGGAGTGAATCGAAGGAGTGGGATTGTCACGTCAGGCTCTTGTCACTTTCAACATGTTCGTGAGGGACATAAATATCCCTCGGCTCTGCTTTAAATTCCACTTTCTTGAATCCAGTGATATTTTTGTCCAAACTCAAATGACCCCGGCATTAACAGTCTGCTTTTTTCTCTTTTCTACCCCCCTCTTTTTTTTTTTTGCAGCCCGTATAGGGAAAATGAAGAGGAGGAAGCCTGAGGAGGGGGGCCAGGTATGTCCGCTGTGCAGCGCCCCATTGGCTGGGAGCGAGGAGGAGATGAGTAGACATGTGGAACAATGCCTGATCCAGGTAGTACAATACTGGCCATAAGCCCCGCCTACCTCCAATCGGACAGCCTGTCAACACTTCTCTTCTTGTAGATGCTGTCCAATCACGTCTGTAGATTAGTGCAGATTTCAACCAATAGCAGATCTACTTTTTTTTTCGAGATATTTAAACTGCATTCATATCACATGGAGACAACTGTTTGAGAGATTTGACCATTTATAAACACATTAATGAAATGACTGATGACTTCAGGCAAATATCTGCAGTTTATCCCACGTGACATGATTGCATCTTGGTTAGCATGCAGCTCCTCTAGAAGTCTCCAGAACAGACATACGTCCACTCTTTTCCTGTGTGAAGAGGTCACCAGTCCTTCTCTCTTGTAGCTACTAAACCATTGTTCCCCCGAGTAGAAACAAAGACAACAAATCATCACCACTCCTCCTGTATCTGCTCTCATCCACACTAGCCTTACTATACACACTAATACCTCTTTCCTGATAGCACGCTTTCGGTGTTGCAGTGCTGTACCATGCCATGTCAGCTGAGAGCTTTTCATTGCAGTTTCACATCAAAGCGATACAATCCAAGCGTCTGACGCTGAAACACCCGGTGCACATTTCTGAATGGATTTTATTTTGAAATCACTGCAGCAGTAAAGTTAGACACTTATGGGTTTATTAATATACAGTTTTTAGCACTAATTTCCAGTTAAGAATTACGTTTTTGTAACCCCTCTGTCTTTTGTTATTGCAACACTAAGAACTGCGAAACAAAGCTGTGAGGCTATTATCTGTGTTATAGGAACAAAAAGGTAAAGCACTGAGTTTAAGTCTCATGGTAAACACAAACTTCAAATGTGTTTTAGCTAGCATTACTTTTTTGTGTCCTTTATACATTCATCCACTGCTCTCTGAACTTAGCACAGTCAGTCATGGTATGGTACAGGTAAAGCGGGCTATCTCCCACCACAGTCATCTTTAAATCAGTACTTGGTTTCGAGTTTTTCCCCCATGATCAACATCTAATCCTGTACGTGTTTGTGTGTGTGTGTGTGTCAGCGTGAGGGTGCGCTATGCGACGACGACTCTGCAGACATGGATGGAGAGAATGGGCGGGGCTTTGAGGAGTACGAGTGGGCGGGGCAGAAGAGGATCCGAGCCACAGCCTTGCTGGAAGGAGGCTTCAGAGGTACATCCATGCACTCAACGCTCCCTTCACACCGCACTGAGCTGGTTTTTATTTAGAGTGTGCTGCGTGATGATTCAGGTGTCCAGCTGTTTGCTTGTTAACAGCTCCATGGTGGAGTCTACTCACAGCAGAGTTTAGCACTATTTGTTCTCTTCTTACCTTTCCTCTGTCTGTCATTCTCTGTATTTGTCCCTCTTCTCATCCATCCTTCCCTCTGCTCCTGTCCACTGTGTGCTGTATTGTTAAACGTCACCAGGGAGCTGTAATGGTGCCAGTGGTCCTGGTGGCAGTGTAGCCTCAGCCCAGGGGGGGTCCGCCCGGCCCAGTCTGGCTCGGCCCTCTTAGCAAGGGGAAGGAAAACACATTTAGCTGGGCAATTGACCCGCCGGTCTCTACTTTGTGTGTGCGTAGTCTGTGCTCTGAAATGCAATTATAGAGGTGGATGGGAGAGCTGCTCACTGGGGAGCTCGGCTGCTCTGTGACACAGCACACCTGCAGGGCTCCCACTTACCTCTCTGTCTTTGTCTCTTTTTTGATCTTTATTCTTAGTATTCATCCAGCTTGCATCTTTACGATTAGCTAATTAGTCTCCCAGTTTTTATTTTGGGAACAGCTAAATTAGATTTTCCCAAGTGAGGGAGCGGGGATAAACATAACAACCCTAATTTCACATTATGCCCTTTTTCCTCACAGCCGCGAGTTACTGAGTGTAAAATTAATTAGACGTCATTAATATTCAATAACTAGCTGATTACATTTTGGTTAGATTTCTCCTTCCTTCAGGTCATTTGACATCTGATCTGACTCTCAGAGGACATAAAATGACATTTTGGAGTCAACAACATTTGCACAACTTTTATTTTAACAAGAAAGATGTGAAGTACATAAGGGGCATCGGTTTTATGATGCCAGCTTGTAAAGAAAAGTCTAGTTATTTACTTTTTATTACATAATTATAATAGGCTAATTTGTCATGACAACAAAAGGATCAGAGCCTGCCTGTCAGAGGTGTCATATCACACATTGACCATTGCATCTCCATACTGGCAGGTCTTCCTGCATGCGCTATCAAACCTCTGCAGATGATCTAAAACAGAGCAGATCTGATCTTCAACCTGCCCAAAAACAAATACAAAACAACGACAAAAACGACACTTCTTCACCTGAACTCTCTCATCCAGGTCTATACTCCCTCCGGCCCCCCATGCTCTCAAGAGGCACATGGTCCTACCTTCCCAACACGGCCCCAAGTCTCTAGCTGGACTCTATCTCTTTTAACTTTTAAGATGTGATTCTACATAAACCTTCCATCTAAACTCAACAAGCACCTCAAAAGATGACAAGTATTTTGTTTCTGTTTACCTATGTGTTGTAAATGCGTGTGGTTTGATGATTCTAACTGCACTGTGGCTTCCCATCGTGGCCTCAGGTGTTAGTGTGTGAAACATAGGAAAAAAAAAGAGATGTGAAAATGTTAAATCGTGCTCAGGTGGAGGTAAAGAGCTGTCGTCATTCAAACTCTCTCTGCTCTGCCTCTGCTTTCATGTGTCCCTCTTCCTGCTCGCCCTCCATCTCTCCCTGTTCGATCCGCTGTTAAACACACACACGCTGAGCCTCACCTGCCTCCGTCCCCGAGCCGGAGAGAGACAAGACAAGGCAGATCAATGCCGAAATCTCGACTAAACCTACGCCAACGAGCAGCTCGAGGGGTTGGAGGGCGGCTTCCCCACCCGTCCATCCATCTCGCCGCCGTTGCCTCCATCTCTCTCTCTAAACGAGCAGACACAGGACCCTTCTGCAGCTCTCTAATAGGGCACCTTGTGATGTGACACAGATAACTGAGGTGGCCTGGGGAGGGAGACTTGAAACACACACACTCGTCTAAAGGCTCAGAAGGTGGATTTTGTCTTGAAAGCTCCTCAGTGGTTCTATCAGCCGCGCGGAATCCTGCAGGCTCTCGAGAGCTGGTCAGACAGCCAGACGGATATAGAGATGATGCAGGGGGGAGGAGGGGGGGAGGAGGAGGAGGGGTCTCCTCAGCTGGCGGGATGAAGAGAGGGCCTGTCTCTTTGTGAAGTGCCACCATCCTCCCCTCCCTGTGAGAGCTAAAAAGAAGAAAGGCAGAGGGAACGGGGTCCTTTAAGGGAGTGGAAAAGGGGGGTGGGGGGGGGGGCAGAGAGGGAGGGAGGGTGGGAAAAAATCGAACAAGATCAGTTTATGATTCAACTCTGTGTGAGTGAAGACTTCCCTGTGTCTCGCACCGGCTTAGCCAGGTTGAAAGAGAGCGCAGCACAGACGGAGAGCTTTCTTTATCTGTCGACTGGACCGTCTGTCTGTCTCTGGAGATGTCTGTTTAATGTGTAGAGAGCAGCTAGACGTCACTTTGTAACTTTGCAGGATACTTTATATATTATATTAAAGGTCTGTCTATCATATAACGAGGTTTTCACCATGTAGTATGTGATATGAAGAGGAAACTTGAGATGTTTATTTTTATTTTTAAATAGTGTCAATATGACACCACAGTTTGTTTTTTCTCATACTGTAACAATAGATGAAATTACCTGTTAAACCAGGAAGTGGGACTGTTCCTGTGCTGGATGTTAACAATAGACAGCACAGGGAATCTTTTCATAGTTTTGTTTTTGTAGTTAAAGTGTAGTTAAAATTTCTTTTATTTTGTCATGAGTTTCTCGCACAGTGGGACTGCATTCAGTCGAGCTGTTACTGAGATTTATTTTGATTGCTATTATATTTTTTGTTTACATTTAGAAGATTATTGTTGTTTTTGTGACAGACTAAAAGTACACATTTTGGAAATGAAAGTTTAGAATATATTTAAAAGACAACTTTCCCTAGTTTAAAAGCCCTAGTCTTACTTTTTGTCTTTCTGTTCTCGAGTGAGAATGAGATGTTATTTCAGCATCTCAGATTCAGTTTACTTACATGTTAACTGTCAACTCTAGGTCGTGTATTTATGTGTTGAAGTTTCGCTTTACATTTATGGGGAGTTGACTTCCAAACTTGGAACAAAACAGAAGTTCAGTTTAGCCGCAGACAGATAGAAGGCAGAGGGGGAGGCAGGCAGACAGATCCTGAGGTTTGATATCAGGTCGTCCTGAGAGACCGAGGAGGAGAAGAGGGGGATTACTTCAGGTTGAGATGGCCCAGAGGGATTGAGAGGAGGCGGAATCTGTGCTTTGTAAATGGACTTCAAAGATGGCCGTCTCATGTCTTTGTGTCTGTGTCCCATTCCCCATCTCGCTCCCCGTCTCCCTGACCTGTAAATGGCAGAAAGATAGTGCGATGACCTTTGACACCTTTCCTCTCTGCTTCTTAGAGGGCCCCGATAATTGCTATGGTAACGGGATGTCGCCCAAGGTGGGTCGATTGGTTGATCCGGGCTGTCGGTGGGCCTCATGAGTCCTTTGATCCGGCCTGCCTCTTCAGATCTGTAGCGGTGGTGTTGTCGTGGTGACATGTATGTAGATCGAGTGTCTCCTGAGTCGCTGTTATAAAGCGTGTAACTCACAGGATAAAATGTGTAGTTAGTATGTTAAGAATCAACGATATGATAATGAGACACACCGCGGTGGCCCTGTAGACATCAGAATGTGTGTTTATTGATCACGCCTATCAGGCAAAGAGGAGGGGGAACGCTTCACTGAGCAGGACTGGAATAGAAAGAGGAGAGACAGAAAGAGGAGAGGCTGGGGAAGTGTGAAGGAATAAAGGTGAGAAAGAAGACGTGATGACATAGAAAGGTGAGCAAAGGAGGAGTGTTAAGGAAAAGAGAGGTAAAGAATACGAAAAGGGGAGGGGGCGTCGGTGCATAATGTGAGTGAAAGGCAGTTAGAGTGGGGCTGACCTTTCCCGGGCCAGATTAGATTGGCCTGCCAACTCTGCTTAGAGGGACAGATGGAAGCACTGGCAACACACACACACACACATCCAAAGAGCCAACAGGCCACGCATACTCTCACAGTTAACATACAGAAGACATGTAAAGTGTGAGCGGGCGCAAAAGAGGGAACATGAAATCCATTTGGAAAGTAGATAAATGTGCTTCATTCCATAAAACGGCTTCTTTTAGGAAATGAAGGGATCATTTGTAATATCTTAGAGTTGGCCTATTCTAATTATATGATATAACTTTATTGTAAATCTTTATTGATCGTCCAATTTGGGCATATTTATGTTATACTATGTGATCCACCACAAGGAAGAATGTTTCTTTTTAGGAAAAACTGAATATGTAAAAAATAAGAGGCCAACCGATTAATCGTCCGATATTAGCGTATCAAGTGACTATCGGTATCGGCTATTTTGTTTTGAAGATATGCGCTGATATTACTTGATTTATTCACCAGTCATATGGCATTTAATTTGAGAATCATTGTATTACACGAGCAGTTCTCTGTCAGCAGCAGAGTGTGACATATGGATTACAACATCATCACTCTCAGAGTGTCAAGCAGTGACGTACGTACATGCACAGTTCCGTTCAGGTTTAGGGACCACCTTGTCTTCATTATACTCTAAATCTTTCCCAAAAGTGTTTGATAAAGGATCAACTCAATAAATGTGTATATCTATATCATATATCTCTACAAATTAAAGATACAACGAATATATCGGCCGATATATCACTATCAGATTTTTTTAAATCCCTAATATCGATATCGGTCAGGCCCTAAAAAAAGAATTTATATTTTCATTATTTTATATCAGATTTGATCTGAATTTTACATTTTGACTAGAGATACACTGATGTGTTGATCATCGGCCAAAATCAGCCTTGTCGATGGACAAAGGCCAGTCAGCAAATCATTTTAAAACTGGCAAGCTTGTACACGTAACTGCTGATTGAGGGGACAGGTTATAGAAGTTACCTTTAAGACAAACTGTTGTCCTTTGTCATATGTGACAGAACATGTCAACGGTCTGGGAGTCTCACACCATCTCTGGGATAGATCAGTGACATGTCGCTTTTAAGAAATGTTCCAGTGAGAAGAAGGACAGCGTATAACAATTTAAATACAAACTTAAACTCCAACTTGTTACATAGAAAACAAAAGGGGAACTGTGGCATGAAAGGCTGATGTCACCATGGCCTTTAAAGAAAAATCAAATGCTCACTTTCAACCGTTAGCTCCTGTGACGGTTTGAAGCAGGCAAAGCTGCTGAGGTGTCTCCATGTCAGTACTCTTGAGTGTTTAATGTAACACGCTTTGTTCGTCTTCTGCCAAGCTGTGATAAACCATAGCCTCAGTAGCCAACCAGAGCTAGCAGTCTGCTAGATTTATACAGCACGGCCATTGTTCCCATATGCTCCTTGCTGCCGCTGAGACCAAATAAAAGTTAAAAGGTCCATTTTATTTCATCACTAAAAACCATGGGCCTGTTGTAAAAGGACTTATGATTGGTGGTGCGTTTTATCGCTCCACGCTCACAATTCATCTCCTCCCCTCTCGTTTTTTATTTTTTTTATTTTTTTTTTTCTGAACAAGTTACGGAGAAATAAATGACAGAATTGGGTAGGAGGAGAAAAGGCAGCAGATGTCTGAACCCCAGAAAGCCCTCGGAGTTGAGGACGAGCAGACAATTTTTTTTTTTTTTTTTGACAAAGACACCACAGAGCTGTGAGACACTGCAGTGCACCGACACCGACTGTTGGAGGAAGTCAAGTATCCAGACACACACACACACACACACACACACACACACTGGGAGAGGGTTAAATAAGATGGCTGTCAGCCCTGTCTAGCTTGTATCTGGTCCTCAACCCACTCTCACACACACACGGAGCACAAGTCCAGCTGAGAGCTTGTAGAAATTGGGATAGGTGTAAATAAGATGGCTGTCAGGCCTGTCACAGGTAGACACACACAGACACCTTCTGAGTCGAATCTTAAGTGAAACACAAGTGCGCGCGCACACACACACACACCTACCCTGCCTCAAGTGCTCCCATAGTTAGGTTGTAAGTAACATACACACTTCAACACTCCTGCGCACACACACACACGTACACACCTCACCTACCTTGGCGCGGTAGATAGACATGGTGTAAGTGACAGGTAGACTGACTCTCACACTCGCGCTCACGCACACACCTTGAACGGGTTGGAGAGAAGGGCCCTAAGTGACAGAGGGACAGACGGTGTGAAACAAACACTGAAGAGACGCCTCTAAGTGACGGACACACACACACAGCCGGCTCGGCGGCTAAGTGGAGCTGAAGGGAGCAGTCAGGCAGCGGTGAGGGTTTGTCTGAGCGTTCATCACTGGGTTTATAGAAGTGCCACTCACTCACACACACACACACACACACACACACACACACACACACACACACAATGACACACTATCTCCCTTGCTCTCTGTCTCCCAGAGATTGATGGGTGAGGCGTCAGTCTCCATCAGATCACCCATGTCTAAACGGTTTCTCTCTCTTCACTTTTCTCTCTGACAAGACTTTTTCTCCTTTAACCTCTTTCTGCAACTCCTGATTGGTCAGGCTAATTTGAACCTTGTCATGTTGGTCTGTAAACACCAAACAGAGGCCCTTTGTCTCTGTTAATGCATTTCTACATGCTAGATTTTTTCTTTTTCTGCATCTCAAGATACTGAGTCTGAGTTTGGGGAGTTGAGATGGATTAAAAAGTAGAGTGACATGAACACTGATTATGTGCTGTCACAGTTTTGGTTAAATCTGTGACTTGCAGCTGTGAGGTTTTTTATAACATTTGATCACTTGTGTTGTCAAACCTCACTCCATTATTCATTATTTTAGGCCGGGGTAACTTTGTGATTGAGCGTAAAACGTTGGTTCCAAATTTCACAATGTCTTGACCAACATCAGAGTGAGCGATAAGTGATTTTTTAAATTTTACACTTAAAGGTCACATATTATCCTCCCTTTCAACCACTTTCATGAAGTCTCAGAACTCAACACAACATTTCTTGTTCTAAATCCACTCTGATCCTGTGTTTGATCATGTCTGTAAACTCCTCTATTTCAGCCCTGCTCAGAACAGACTGTTTCTGTGTCTGTAGCTTTAAATATGTAAATGAGCTGTGTCTGACCACGCCCCCTCTCTGGAAGGGGTTGGTGGCTCAGGCATGTCCGATTGTTTACGGTGAGAAGGCAGACTCAGAGGGCAGAATAAACACCTAGCTGTGGGAGTGTCACCCACCTGGGGGAGGGGTTACTGCCCTTTGTGATGTCATGAAGGGAAAATCTTCAAACAGCCTGTTTGAGCACACATTTTCTGAAAAGTGGAGCAGGCAGAAGATGGAGAGGATGGACTTTTCTCATAATTGGGGGGCTTGTAGACAGACTAGGGACACATGTTAGTGTTAGAGAAACATGCTTAAGTGTATTTTGCATAATATGTGCCCTTTAAAACTCAAGCTTCTGTTTCTTTCTTGTGCCCTCTTATAATGAAAAAGTTTTTGAAAAATTGTCTCTGTCTCTTTCTCAGGAACAGGCTTTGCCACGTGTAGCATCAAAGAGAGCGCAGCGGACAGCGACGCTGACCTCGACGTGGACGGGGATGACACCTTGGAGTACGGAAAGGCCCAGTACACCGAGGCAGACATCATCCCCTGCTCTGGAGCCGGAGAGGACCAAGGAGAGGCCCGGGAGAGGGAGGCGCTACGGGGAGCTGTGCTCAAGTATGAAAACTATTAACACACAGTCCAACTTACTGTACTTGTTAGGTAGGAGGAGTGGGATAGACCTGTAAGGTTCCATTCAAACCCCTGTTTGTGTCTCTGTGTTACAGCGGGGGGATGCCTTCTAACAGAATAACGCCTGAATTCTCCAAATGGGCCAGTGACGGTGAGTAAGGCCGATTAAAAGTTCCTTCTAATTGACAGGAATGTTTTTCTTGTTTTGTTTGGTTTTGCATACGGTACTGAAATACAATGATCTTACTTTCATACTTAGGCGGTTTCACGTGTTTAAAAAAAAGCCTCCTTTTTGTGTGTTCACAGAAATGCCTTCAACGAGCAACGGAGAAAGCAGCAAGACAGACCCCAGCACCCCTTCATCCTCCTCCTCCTCCTCTTCCTCTTGCGTCCCACGCACCTGTAAAAACAGTGAGATCGAAAAGTAGGTTCCACATTTTTTGTTTTTGTCTATATGGACGCACACAAAGCACACAAAGCATGGTTTAGTTTTTAAAGGTGAGACGGAAAAATGACTTTCTCCCACCACAGCAACACACACACACACACACACACACACACACACACACACACACACTCTCACTCTATGACTTTGTGATGAGATTTCTTACTTGTGGGAGAGTCGACTTATGGAGGGTCATAAATGATGCATTTTGTGTGGATTCTGGTTTTTCCTGTGTGTGTGTGTGTGTGTGTGTGTGTGTGTGTGTGTGTGTGTGTGTGTGTGTGTGTGTGTGTGTGTGTGTGTGTGTGTGTGTGTGTGTGTGTGTGTGTGTGTGTGTGTGTGTGTGTGTGTGTGTGTGTGTGTGTGTGTGTGTGTGGTGTGTGTGTGTGTGTGTGTGTGGTGTGTGTGTGTTGTGTGTGTGTGTGTGGTGTGTGTGTGTGTGTGTGGTGTGTGTGTGTGTGTGTGTGTGTGTGTGTGTGTCAGAGTGGGTCTCTCCACGTATTGATTTTCCTCTGTAGTCTCAGAGCTCAGAGCTGCCTCAGAATCATTAATGGAGACATAGACACGAGCACAAACCAGAAGCACACTACATTCAAGGCCGGAAGTGAGGAAACACATGCAGATGTTTGGTCAAGCTTGTGTTCACACAAGCCTTCAATAACATCCTTCATACCATCAAACATCGTAAATGCTGAGCAGTTTGCAAACACAAAGCACTTAGGTTTCATTTTTTTTCATGTTTTTTTTTTTTAATTGTTTGAATTTGGCACAACTCCCAGTTGAACTCGGGAAAACAAATACCTGCATGGCTCACATTGTTCAAACTAATACTAACTAATGAAGGATCATGCTAACATGGAGAAATATAATACAACCTTTTTACAACTTTCTTTTTGTGTCGATCACTTGTGCTCGTCTCCCATTGAACCACGAAATCAATCACTCCTAATTTGTATAGTTCCAATTCATAACAAATGTTATCTCAACACACTTTACAAAAGAGCAGGTGAAAGACCTCACTCTGTGTTTTATTATCTACAAAGACCCAACGTGAATCCATTATGATGATGCACTAAAGTGGAGAGGAAAAACATCGTTTAAGAGGCAGAAAGCTCGATTGGTTCTCTCAGTTGTCCTCAGTGGATTGTAGAGATGATAGAGTTTATCTAAGAAATTCATTTAATCCTTTCTTTTAATGTAGAATTTAAGTTCACTCATCATTAGTTGCCCTGTATGAGTGACAAGCTAACAGGTGACTTTACACTTTGATGCTTGAGGTCATAATCTGAGGAAGACAGATAGATTTGACAAAAGTGCTAACAGCCTTTATAATTTACATGTTGTGTGAAATCCTAACTTTTACCCCACATCATTTTTAAGGACTTCTGTTCTGATTATGCGTTCATTACAGCTTGACTGTTAACTCTATTCTGTGTTGACAAAGATGACAAAGTTAGCCCAAATAGACCATCACTGGAGCACAACAGAGCATGCAGAGTGAACAAAACAAAATGTCTATTTCTTAAAAAAATGTGTAAACTGAAAATGACTTAAGCTGGATTGGACATTTCAGAAAAGTATCCTAACTCAGCTGTGTTTCAAACAGACAGACACACACACACACACACACACACACACACACACACACACATACTAATCAGGAACAACCACACTGCCCTATTCATTAGATCACCCTGTGTGTGTGAAAGGCCAGTGCTCTGTAATTCCCTCATTTCCATCTCCTCATCCGTATTCTGCCACAAGTAAACAATCACACAGACATACACACACCTCTCTCACACACACACACACACACACACACACACACACACACACACACACACACACACACACACACACACACACCCTGTCCCCTGCATGGGTAATAGAGGTCAGCTCATTGCGAGGGGGAAACGTCGGTGGGCGAGCGAGGGAAGAGAAAGAGGGATTTGGTTGATTGGTTGCTTCTGCATGTCTGGCATATTCTCCTGTCCTTTTGCCCCATGCCATTACACAAACACACACACTTGCACATGCACACACTGTGCTGGGGTCAGTCGGCCTGTTGCCTCAATCCCAGCTCCTATTTCTTTAAGTGATTTCCTTTGTCCAGCTGAGGTGCCTTTAAGGATCCCCCCCTTAAAACCACCACACTGGTGTTGTTTTCCTAACCTCCCCTCAGTCATTTCATCCACTAAAATATTAGAGTATGACTCATTGGAGGGTTTAAAGCATCTCTTTTTACGCAACTCTCAGTGAGCTATGAACTAATGAGACATTATGTGTTTTAAGAAAGTAAAACATGCAAAATAATAACTTAAGAAATGAGCATGTGTGTGAATAAATAGTGAATAATTAGTATTGGACTCCCCTCTGAAGGCTTCACTTGATAGATGCTTCATTTAAATGAATCAATCGGCTCTCTGTGTGTGTCTGAGTGTGCGTCCCATATTAAATATCAGCACAGAGGGGATAACTGGTGAATAAGCAGAGCAGCTTGAAGTGTATTGATCAGACAGGACACACTGCAAGGCATGAGGTGTGTGTGTGTGTGTGTGTTTGCTGAGCGAGGGGATGCATTCGATAAGTTTCCAGTGCCGTGATCGTCCTTGTTTTACTTTGCGCACCTCTTGGTGTGTGATTGTGTGTGTGTTGTCTGAGAGACACAGATGAAGGCAGGTCAGTGGAGCTGAGCAGAGACAGAACTGATTCACTTGTGAAAGTTTCACAGATTTATATCACAGAGTGGAAGATAACAGGATATAACCAAAGTCTAAAGATGTAGCCCTTTAAAGCCCTTACCATGCCTTTAGTTGCAGGAATAAATTCATAGTTAAGACTAAGATGTGCTACAGTGTAAGGACCTCATGGTAAACAACAACTGTTGCTGTTGTTTCCCAATTTCTTTTTTAAGAACAACCTGAGTAAAATGTTCTGACTGCCATGGCAGGTAGTGTAGGTGTGCCTGTCACAACATTAGACTTGAGCTGAAGCCTCAGCGTCCCCCTGCAGCACAACATGCCTTAATCTAAGTATCCATTTAAAGGGAGCCAACGAGATGCTGAATGATTGCAATGGAAGAAGCAGTTAGCTGGCTGCAACAATTCCCCGCCTCACTCATCTCCTCTCGCTATAAATGCACGCATTTGTGGAGCTCCTGTGCTCCTCTGTCCCCAAATGAAAATGAGATTTGTCTCCTTTCGTTACATTGATACATTGTACATGTGTGTGTGAGTGTGTCAGTGTGTGTGTGTGTGTGTGTGTGTGTGTGTGTGTGTGTGTGTGTGTGTGTGTGTCTACAATGCACAGGGCAGGGTTAGTGAAATCTCTCTCTGTGTCTCTGATCCCAGATGGGTAATGATCTGGTCGCCTCCAGGGGCGTCCTCGTTCCCTTGCTCATTCCCCTGCAAGATAAATGAGCTCCCCTCCTCACACACACACACACACACACACACACTCTCAAACGCAGACACCCGCATATAGACACGTACAATGCCTGAGACGCTCTCTCCCCTCCAAGATAAATGGCCCCTCCAATGCCGCCAATGCGATTGCTGCCAAATTTGGTGCTCCAGCTGGAACAATGCGAAGAGATTTCCATGTGGTTTCTGCGAATAATTGAATCTGTCCTCAATTTGGAAGTGATGAAGCTAGATTTCTACCCCATCCCCCCCATCACACACACACACACACACACAAACACACACACACGCTACCCTGTCCATCTAGCTGCCTCTTCTCTGGTTCTTCTCATCCATATTTCTCTCTCTTTCCCATTTCTCTTCTCTTCCCACTTTCTGTCTCAATTTTTTTTCCAGGCACTTCTAAACGGCATCCTCCCTTTCGCCATCTGAGACACACACACACACACACACACACACACACACACACACACACACACACACACACACACACACACGTATCGGGCTGGGGCAGGGGAAATCAATAGTGACTTAAATGTTTTATCATGGTGTGTCAGTGTAGTTAAGGCCTCGGTTAACAGGGTGCAGCAGGGAATGGTGCTCTAAAGGGACTCACTGCTGCTTTTTCACAGCGCATGCATGTTAGAGAATGACTTCCTTACCTGCAGGATGACATGTTTGCTAGAATATTGAACTCAGATGGTTGTTTAAATTAACTGTTTTGTAATTTTCTGATTTTGTTTCTTCTCGTGTTGAGACTGATACAAGTGAGGCCAAAATGTAGGAGGACAGTAGATTAAGACACGGGGCTGATTGAGATGGATGGTGGAGGTCTACGGCTACACACAGACACACACACACACTAATGAAATGAGAAATAGCCTCACACACGTTGGGGACAGAGCGCTAAATAGAGGGGAGGCTCGGCCATCTATCTGTCTCTGTCAGGCTCTCCTGCACTCTCTAGTCGCCATAGGGATGACTGGAGGAAGAAACTTCACTTTCTTTCACTCACACACACACACACACACACACACTCAGCAGTCTGAAAGCCCTGTGGGGCAGTAACCGAGTTGGAGTAGTAGCAGCGTGTGTGAACGGAAGTTGTATTTCAGCGTTAGTTCCTCAGGTTTTATGATGCCAGACCTTCAGATCAAGGCCACAGCTTCGGTTAAAACCCGCCGAGCCGCAGACTCGTCCCAGCGTGCTCACAAACTCTGTGAAATGTAAAATCACGCAAAAGCACACTTTCAGAGTACACAGGAGTAAATATCAAGGAGTCCTTTTCTTATTGCATCAGCATAAATCACAGACTGTATATAGGAAATGGGTATAGCCTCTTGGTTTTACTTTTAAAACCAATGTGGTCGTCTAAAATAACAGAAACTTAAATTCATTGAATAAAGAATTCACTGGGAATGTCATTCTTTTGAAGCAGAAACTCTGATATTCTGAGTGTCATGCGAAAGTACTTAAATATGCTTTACCTGTTGTATAACCACTTTAGGGCCCTGTGTTCACCTAGCGTTTATTTCTGGGCGCCAGCGTCTTTTTTCAGTTGTTTTCAATGAGGTGAGAGCGTTTTTCCAAGCGCTCAGCCTTTTTTGTGCGGCCGCTCCAAGAGCTCAAGTTGAAAATATTTAAACTTTACAGAGAGGTTTCTGCTGACGTCACCAGCGCTCTTTTCCAAATGTTTGGTATTCCCTGTATTTTTGTCTCCCAACGGATCGTGTCTTGCTCCGTTTCTGATCGGGTTAATACGATCTCAAATTAAAAACATACGGTAAAAAGCAACGTAGCGGAATCGGTCATACAGCGGCCATTGTCAACAGACTGCTGTCATAGAGACAGATTTACATCACCCTTATTCTCAGTGCACAAGCGCTTCATAGAAACACTCCCAAGCGCTTTTCTGCCCAGAAAAAACGCTTGGTCGCCAACTTTACATACGATATGCTGCACATTTTTTTCAGGTGACAGGTCAAGATTTGAGAGCAGATTCAAAAGGATTCTGAACTAGTGTTTGATCTGGTACAGAACCAATATCTGCATTTATACATCTCTAAAAAACATAGTGAGATACTGCTACACTAAGTAGAATTAAACTTGGATACGCTTGTATATTTCCTCACCCTTATTTTAGGTTCTAACCCAAATGGAACTGTTCTCTAAGTCATCATGACATGTTTGCTAAACCTGGGTCCCAGAGTGACATCAATTTTTGTGTTTTGGCTCAAAGACTGAAAGTTTGAAAACCCCTGAGCCCGCTTAAATCAGAGACACACACAAAGAGCATAAAAATATCCTCAACTCAAGGATTCTTACTTGTGGTTCCTGCTTGTTGAGAGGCTGTTTATCTCCTTTTGTGGCAGATTCAGCCCCAGAGAGTTGTCTTTCCTTTCCTTGGCCCTGTGAAGTCATCCTGTTCTCCTTTTTACCACCATTAAATCTTTGCATCACCCCTCCACCTCTCTACACCCTGTTTCAATGCCCACAGCCACAGAAAGATAGATTACATGTCTCTTTATCGCAGTGGGGAATTAAACAACTTCTTCAATGTGGGTTTCTATAAATTATCTGAGCTGAATGAATAATCATTGTTCAGAAAAAAGGGTAATTAGTGCACATATTGTTACTGGAACAAAACTCTTTTAAAGAGCTCCAGTCTCTTGGCAGAGTTTTGTAGTGACTGGGCGACAGAAGTCTTCATTGGAGCCTGTAAAAGACAAAGACTCGCCTCTTTGAGGAACAAACCTCGTCCGGTCCCGTCCAGCTCAGAGTCTTCTGCTACTTTATAAGCTAGCAGACCAATCAAGGCTAAATGGCTTTTTACAAGCTCAGAACTAATAAGAGGAGAGGGTAAAGCCATTTATAGGGCATGGAGTGGCGAGTCAGGCTGGGAGTCCCAACCCGGTCTTTATGACACGGGCTTGTGAAGGGGTTACAAAAAGGAACGAGAGCAGGTCCACTTTTTCCCAAGGACCTTATGGAAGAAGCAAAAGCTTGCACTAAATTTGAATTGCTTAGTTTATAGCCAAGGTCCTTCAACAAGTCCCTCCAAACAAAATAACTTAAATGTCTAACCCATCACTCATGCTGCTCTGTGGCACATTCTGAGATCTGGTTTTTGGAGAAACCATTAGCCGGAACCACAGAAAGAAGGATATATTTGACATTAGCTACACTTTGAGCAGTATAACACAAACATTGGTATTTTGAAACCTACAGCCCATTCACATTCAGTACAGTTGTGTCCGTCACCAATGACTGCTTAATTTTTGTCTTTACCGCCAACATCCTGTTAAACATTCTTATTGTTTCCATGACGATTGTACAGGGCAAGAATTGGCAATTGGAAAAGTTAACCTAAGCAGTGAATTTACATGCACAAAACATGTGGATGTAATATCTTTGCTCACGTGGTGTGCATGAACATTGACTTGACTTTGACTAAATGAAAGAGTCAATTACTACGTGACCTCTGACCTCCAAACTGATTTTAAAGCCGTTGTTTTCAGGATAATTTCTGCATGAAGTGGCTTACAAATGGTCCAGTCATGACACTTTAAGGCAAAATTAAATAAGACATAACAGATAGTTGAGCAAAAAAAATTGTAAAAAAATTGTACCCCGAAACAACAAAAGCTGAAGTTTTCCTAAAAATTAGATAGAGATCTGTGATGAAGTTCATGTTGATGTTGCTTGACCCAAGCTAAGAGGTTTCAGGTTTTACTCTTTAGCAGAGACAAATGAAACATTGAACCTTCCCAAAAAGGGGTTTGGGACGTTGCCGTTATCACCATTGGTAGATTTGACTTCCGTCATGTGAGGTGTCAGAAGGTTTTTGTTGCTGCCATCCAAATCTAAATGAAATGGAATGCAAACAAATTTTTTTCTGTACTTTTTCTGTTTGAAGACGTCTTGTTCGGCCGTGCAAACCTGGAATGTTGAACTTTGATTTAGTCTCCCATTAAGGTCTGAATGTTTGATTTATATTAATGAGCTCGGAAGGAATCAAAAAGGGAGGATGTAAAAGTACAGAACACTGCTCCTAATAGGAAATGGAGAAAGTCTGTCATTATTTTCTTTTACCCTGCAGCCTCGGCTGTTTGAGGATGCAGCAAATGAAGCCATATCCTGGGACACACACACACACACACACACACACACACACACACACAGCCACTTATCGCTCTCTTCTTGCTCTCACCCTTCTCCCTCTCTCCGCTTGTCCTTCCCCATCCAGATCAATACCATAGATCAGCTAGCTATCAGGCTGCAAAATGACCACATCACCATAAACACACACACACACACACACACACACACACACACACACACACACACACACACACACACTGCTACAGCGAGTGGATGGCTCTAATAAACACCAGCTGGCTCGCGCGGCCTCGTCTCGCAGCGCCAAATCATCAGCAGCGTTGTGGTCTGTGCGTCCGCTGTATTGATTTAGTTATGGCTGCTTCATATGCTGGCCGACAGTGTTAAATGCACATTTTCTGTTATCATGCCGCACATTAATCAGACTCCGCTTAGAGGCAGGAAGAAACATGGGACGGGGAGAGAAGGAAGGACGGATGAAGAACAGGACGCGAGGTGAAGAAGAGATGAATACAGAGGCAGGGAGATAAATTGTAAAGGATGGATGGACGGACATGGAGATTGAAGGAAAAACACAAGAGAGGGGACGCAGAGGATACAAGTGAACATAGAGGACAGGGTACTTTATTAAAAAGTCGAAAACGGGAACAATGAAGGATGAAAAGGATGGGAAGGTGGGAATGAGAAATGGGGTCTAAAGTTGTAGATCTGTTTGAAGATGGGGCCTTTGAGGTTATAACCCTGTTCATAAAGAAGACAAAGCTGTGACTGTTTGGAGCTGCAAAGACACACAGTTGTGTAAAAAGAAGTTTTAATGAAGACACGGGCAGCATTTCCGTTTTCAGTGTTTGCAGGTGCTGAATTTAAAACAGCATGTAATACATTCTAAAGAAACCTTCTCCCCCCCCTTTCTCTCTCTCCTTGTTCCTCTCCTGCAGGGTAACAGAGGAGGAGTCCACGGCCACCACCATGGAGGCTCTGAAGGCTCGGATCAGAGAGCTGGAGAGGCAGATCCTGAGAGGGGACCGATACAAGTGTCTCATCTGCATGGTGAGTCCAACGTTTACCCTGAAGCTTCTCTGCTTCTCTGCACATCAGTCCTGATCGTCAAGTCCACAGTCTTACTGTGGCAATGCAGTGTCTGGTTCCTTCAAGTTGGACAGGCATTATGAGGCCACATAAATCCTACCTTCATTTGCTCCAACGTCCTCTACAGTTCTGTTTTTTGTTTGTATTGATGGAGTCATGAGTAAATGCACAACAACAACAGTATCAACAAGATGTTCTTATCAGCATCCTGGAAGTCACTTTTTGTTAAAGAGGAATGATAATCCTAGGTTTATTTATTACACATACAACAGAAAAGATTATAGACAATGTTTCCATCATTGCCCACATCGAGTTGAGTGCAATACTCGAAGGTCAGACTCTGGTTATAAGAAGTTACAGCTGAAATTTAAATTTGGCAACTAGGGACGTTTTTCTGCCCTTTGGAAACTTAAGAATATTCTCTTAAATTCTACTTACTGTGAAGCTTCAGTGTATATCTCACTAGAGGAGGAAGAACCAGGTCAGGCTCAATCATCTGTAATCATCCTACTGCGGTCCTCTTCGCCCACTCCACCAACATATTTGTTGTTGATGTAAAAAACAAAAAAAAAAACAATGCATTGCTGAATAATTGACTAAAGGACTAGTTCTCACTTTGGAAAATGGTCATATTAAAAATGAAAAGTGAATCTTGTGGTGTGCATGTGGGACCTGTGTGTACTTCATTCACCTCAGATCTTCTTGGCCTTGGAAGCATACGAGTGCTGCTGGTGTTGTGATAGTTTGTGCTCCTGCATGGCTTTGCAAGTCATTGAATGTGTGCTTGAGGACCCCCCCCCCCCTCCCTCCTGCTAACACCATCATGTGATTTTGACCAAGACCCTTTGTATGACAAATGTATATAATACTGTAATGGTGATTTTATTTAGAAATCTAGAATATCTTAACGACAGGGCTGCTGATGTGACAGGTGATCAAATGCTGCAGCAGCCAGTGTTGTATGAAGTGTGAAGACGGTTCTGAGCATGTGCAGGTGATTGATTTGACCCCCTGATCAATAATATGAACCATGTGGCATTCAGGAACGACAAGGTCATTCACAATGTTCAACACATACTTGAATACACACACACACATGCAACCCCCCAATCACCGTTTGTGTTCCCCACTTTGTGTCAAGTGCCCATCCTGCCATTCATCCTTCAAGCTTGTGAACAGTGCAGTGTCGACATCCTGCGTTCATGTGTGTGTGTGTGTGTGGGGGGGGGGGTAATTACCGACGCCTGCACTTCCTAAAGGTCACTGGGTCTTTTAGGTGACACGGAGGGCAAGGCACAGCGATCGATCACTCACTGCCCCTCGGACACACGGCTCCTCTCCGCTCATCTGTCACTGTCCCTCATCTCACACACACACACTTGCAGAGAAGCAGATATGTGTACAATGTTCTCACACACAGCGCACCTCACCTCTAATCTGTCTCTGTCTGTCTTCAAGTCGTCACTGCGCTCTGTCACTGATCTAGAAGTCGTCAGGTTTCTTTAAGTAAATTGGCACTCAGGAAGCATTTGAGAGAAGCTGGAGATCTCTGCTGCAGCCTCCGAGTTCATGTAGAAACATTTGTAGCAGCCTCAGACTGTTCTGCATGGATCATAGCCTTTGCAGGTGTTATAGTGTTGTTCTTAAAGACCATCACACACCTGCAGATCTCCTGCAGGAACCAAGTTGGATCAAGTTTGTTCTTCATCCTTTACATTGTTAAAGGGAGCTCTGTGTCTTATCAGTGGATTTCTACCACCATCTACTGGTCATTGTCGGAACTCGGGGGTGGGGGGGGGTAACTTCTTGATAACTTCTATGGCCTCCCACCAGTTTTGCAACAATATAATGTAACAAATATTATTATACTGGATAAAATGATTAATTGATTAGTTATTTGACAAACATCAACCTGCATCTGTTTGAACGATTTATATGTCACTATGAAGAGAATCATTTTCACTGTCTCTCGTCTCATGGTCTGGTTTGCTTGTGTAAGTCATATAGAGGAGTCAGTATTCAATTTAGTCTGTTTGATAATTAGCTAATAACTCTTCACAGGAACTTTAACGATACCTTCAGCAGTAAAAAAATAAATAATAATCTACATTCAATAGACGTCTGTAACTAAGCTCAGCCAAGTCATCAGTGTCCATGTCATTGTGGAATCGAAGTCGGTGTGGACGGAGACGGAGAGCATGTTTCACAGCAGTTTGATCGCTGGCTGGCAGAGCTTTACGCTTTCTCATCTGTATATCTGTGGCAGTGTGTGTGTGTGTGCGCTTGTTGACACGCGCATTTGTTGAGTGAGCTCGATCAGTTCAAGCCCGCCTCTATGATTAGCTGCCACCTTTCGCCCCTCCCTCTCCTCACCCCCCTCCCCAACCCCTCCCTTCCGCAGAGGAAGCCTGCAATCCAGTCAGGTGCGGAGATCAAGAGCCTAGGGGTGTGGCCAGGGCCCCGGCCACTGGCCAACGAGGTCGGAGAGAGGCAGCCTAAGTCCCTCCCCCTCGGCCTGTACTGCCTGTACAGGGGCCTTGTGATTGGTGGCTACGGCAGCGGCATAAAGAGGCTCCTCCCACAGCCCCTACGGAGGGTAAGGCACTCCCTCCCTCCTCCGCTCCCCGTCCTCACTTTATCCTCCTCGTCATCCTCCCTCATCCCTCCATTCTTTTTCAAGAGGAAAAGAAAAAAAAAGGGTTCATTCATGGCCGTCTCCCTCGTCTCCCCCCCTCTCCACCTGCCCCCCCCACCCCCGTCTCTGCTCGTTGCCTGCCCGTTATACTGTGTCTGTGTGTGCAGGTTGCCGGTTCAGTTGCCCCCCCCTCATGCTGCCTTGCTCAGGTTTTCTGTGGCTGTTGGCTGTGTCGTTCATGGTCAGTGGTTTGATGGTGTCGGTCAGGAAATGTGCGGTGTTGTTGTTGTTGTTGTTGTTGATTCACGTGTGTGTGTGTGTCCTTTGAATATATTTTCATTTGTTTTGTTTTTTTTGTCTCTCTCTTTGTTGTTAGGACTCATACACGATGCCGCTCACCTCCATCCAGTGCTGGCACGTCCACTGTGAAGAATGCTGGCTCAGGACTCTGGTACGTACACACTTCTCCTCAGACACACACACACACACACACACACACACACACACACACACACACACACACACACACACACCTCCTTCCGTCCTGCCGTCCTGCAGGCCTGCCTCTCGTGGCATGCACTTATTGCAGCCTCATTTCATAGTCAGTGAATTTCTCTCTTTAGCCGTGTCCCGTAGGGAGAATCTAAAATGGGAATATTCCTCAAATGACCTGTTCTCCTACTACACACACACTTACACACACACTTACACACACACTTACCCACAGACGCACACAGTCAAGGCCGTGCAAACACCTCCAGTTCTCTGCAGGGAAAGTTTAGATTGAATGGTCCCCAAAAGGCTCGTTAAAAGAATTGGAATAAAGTGGTCAACTCCAGCCTTGGATGAGTTCTACACAGCGCCGCAGGCCTGCACACACACTCACACACACTCACACTCACACACAAGTAGTGGTTTTGTTGGTTATTAGTTAGTCTAATATATTCAGCAGTGTGTAATTAGCTGGTGATAATGTGGTAAATGGAGCGCAGTGTTTCTGCTGCGGGGAGGATAAACGGTCTCATGGTTGGCTCTCTTTGATGTCTTAACTTTCTGTCTTTCCTTTACCTCTCACTGTTCCTTCTCCTTTATTTACTTTAGTCCTTTCTAGGGTTGTTCACGCTCACCTCAGTGGTTTTCTCTTATGAAACACCATCAGTTTTGACATCACCATTTGCTTACAAAAATTTTACCACACCTAGCTCCCTTTCATATTACACTTGCTAATATAAATATGCAACATCTAAGCATAGCAAAAAGGGGTGTCCCCTTTGTAACATGCTTTACTCTACAAGTAAACGTTAGCAGAGCTAGCACCACCAGTCTTTGTTCCCTCTTGCATGTCAACATCCACATGCCTTAGTCGAGTTGTTCTATACCAATTGAACCTGTTCCAGCTGCTCCCAAGAGATGCAATCTGTCCACTGTGCTGGTTTACATTCTCGTAGTAGAGCTACAGCCCCGGCTAGTGGCAGGTGGCTGCGCTACATCTTAGACACATTTAACCAGCACTGTGGGCCTACATTAAAAAAAAATATGAATAATTAGTTTGAGCATTCTGTTTCTGGTGCCAACTAGTGAGGGTTGAATCATTTAGTTCACACATATTGACAGGACCAGACGTAAACACACAAGAGGTGCAGAAAGACACAAAGGACTGTGAACAGTTAAAGTTCCTAGTTCATGAAATCTTTACAAGAACATTTTTGCATTAACCAGCTTGTGCATAGTTTTGTACGGTTTCTCTGTTCTCTCTGTAGTTTCTTGAAATGGATAGTGTTGGGACTAAAAGGAAGCTCAAAGGCTACAACATGTGTTAGTCTTTTAGAATGAAAATCTAAAAAGCGCCAAAGTATTATAAGTAAAATGTTTATTTGCTTTAAAAATGAGCTAATAATCAACATGATGACGTGTTTTTTTTTAGTTCTAGAAATACTTCTCTATAGATTGAGGGTACTTTTCGATAACACCCAACAGAAACATGACTCAGTATTAAGATGTTAAGAGCCCTTGTAACCGAGTCCTTTATTGACCCTGTTTTTATTTACATCCTGAGCAGAGATTAGGAGAACCAGTTTTGGATGAAATAAATAGATCATATTGATCAAACATGTACCTGATGGCTGATTTATATGTTTTGCAAAGGAAATGAAGATTTAGACAGCACATGTAAAGATCGCTGCCCTCATTCATGTTTAATTGGACATTAAGATGTGGCTAATGATCGTGTTGAACATGTGTTTAGTGTAAGATCGATGCTGATTCATGAAGATCCTCATGTGGCTACAAACTAAACGGTCTCTGCATGTTTAAGTCATGACTTTTAGGGTTTTAAGGGAGACTGTAAGGAAACAGTCTTAAGCGAGGTCCACTGTTTCCACCATCCATGTGCCTGATGACTGGATGTGTGTGTGTTTCGGTGTGTGTGAGCCGTGCATGCTGCCGTAGCCGCTCTAATGTATGGGGCATTAAAGTCGTAGCCTGGAGACAGCTGTAAAACAGGCAGGGCCAGGCTGATCAAAGTAAATGCCTGTGAATCTAGTTAACGTCAGCCCGGCCCTTCGCCGCTTTAATGAGCGAGGCAGCTGGAGCGCAGCGTGACAGGCACACACCCACACACACTTAGCGGCCACACCAAGCAGGAGTACACATCTCCAACAGGCTGCAAACAAACAAGAGGCAGGCTCCGTCGCACAGTGCCTGAATGAAAATCACTTTCAGAGACATCATGGAGCGTTATGATCATGTGACAGGTGTTGTAATATCAGGGAGTCGTTTTAAGTTTTAGTTAGAGATGAATTTCAACCACACATCCTCCCTTTTTTCACCTTCTTCACTTTTTTTCTTGCTCTCTCCCTCCACCTTTTCTTCTCTCCATCCTCTTGAGACATAAAGAGACTGCTTTGAGTAGCGTGGAGCCACAAATCCTCTTAGCAGGAGTGTGTGACATCTGTCAGAGTCTTGTACCAGCTCAGTCCTCTTCAGTGTGTGCGTGCTCACCTTAGCCTATGAACCCACTGCCAAGAGTTTCTACAGTGGCTTACAGGAACAGAAGCCTATAAATCTTTGGGGGTCAGAGGAACCTGTTCATTTAAAGCTGGCAGACTGGATTTGGACGGTCCTGCGGGTACTTCAGGTATGGCATCTGTGCATTCTGTCGTGCCTGTGTGAGATGTCACACTAACGATGTTTCTGTGGAGTAGATGCACGTTGTTATACACACCATCTGCACACATGACAGTAGACCGATAGAAGTCTACATACCACAGAGATACTTTTCAGATCGGCGGTAGCAGGTCAGTTTTGTTGACGACACATGTCCAACGGGTCATTTTTCACAGAGGTGAAACATGTAGAATCACTTTATGCCTTTATGTAGAGACAGGACAGTGGATAGAGTCAGAAACTAGAGAGAGAGAGAGAGAAGGGAGTGACATGTAGGAAAGGAGCTACAGGTGAGATTTGAACCTGGGTCACGTGCCTTAATTACTCAGTTACCAGCGCCAATTGAGCCGTCCTTTTTTATCACTCCTGAAGTCTGCGTTGAGGTGATGTTGAATACAGAAGGCTCAAACACACTGACGGCCCGGTGCGTGTGGATTCAACCACCATGGCCAATCTACGCATCTGTCAGACCATGTAGGAAAAAAAACCTGTTTAAACTTACCTCACAGTTTTAAAAAGCATTTGATATTTCTCAGTTGAAACAATCGACATGTTGTCTCTGCTTTCCATAAATACAGGGTTTTAATGTTTAACAACAACATTTTACAAAATGTCACATCTTCTTAGGAAATGGAGTTGTAGGAGCAAAAACAAGTCAGTTATTTTTCTGACGTAGTTTCAGCATCCTGTACAAAAAAAAAGAAGCGATCTCGGCAGTTTCCTTTTCTAGTTAACTCCAGATGTTCCATCTTCCTCACACAATCTGTTTAAACTCATTCATACATCTGTTACCGATACAGAAACAGCACAGACAGTGAATACTGTCGGCTGGAATGTGCCAGCACTTGCAACTAAAGGAGGAACAAGCTGAGCGATGTAAGCAGTCGGAGAGGTGGAGGACAGCAGCAAAGAGACCACCCAGCCCGAGTGTTGTTTCACTGTCAGACCTGTGCTGCATATTATCACCTGCTGCTTTACTGGAGATGGCACACTATCAAAGCAGTGCACAGAGAGAGAGGGCTGAAGGACTGTGAGATGGTGCTCCGCTGCAAACAGGCTGCTTTGCATTCAGAGAGAGAGAGAGAGAGAGAGAGGAAGTAGTAGTTGTTACAGGACCTGTTTTGGCTCACCTGTCAAGCACTTGCACACTCTCAGGAGACACACAGTGTAATACACATGCAGCAGCCATACTGCACAGGAGTACGAGTGGTCAGCACCATGAAGTCTGTGTCGCTTTAAATGTTTCTTTGGTCAGGAGGAAGAGTGTTTAATCAAGATGGATGAATCAAATCTTAGTGCAATATTAAAATGTTCAAAATGTAATTGATATGATTTCATGTCATGTAAAACAGTGTTAACATTTCTGAAGTTCTTTAATAGTAACAAAATGAAAAATGACATCCTCTTTTCTCTTGCCCTTTTTTTTTTTATCATTTTGAGAATTGTTTATTTCTAAATTCAATGTCAAATATCTTAGGATGTTTTTGTGTCCTTTAAACCAGCTCACAGCTTGTAACTTCCTCGGCTGACATTGCTGCGAGCTCATTGGTTGTTGAAAGTTACCCGATGACATAGAAACAGTCACTTAAACTTCAAACTGAGTTGTAGGAAATGCCACCATTGCTCATCTCAAACAGTTTGCTGCTCCTTTTACCTGCAGCTCTGCATGTACGGAGCCTGGGCCTGTTGAAGGTGGTAATGCTGTGTGTGTTGTGATGGCCATGTGGTCAAGTAGGTCAGATAAAGACGTTCCCTGCTTTTGTCTTGTGGGCGTGGGGAGAATTAACATGTAGGGGGATGGCTTTGGGACGCAGGAGCTCCCAGTCCAGCCTTCTTATGGGGCGGATTAGACAAAAACCTAGATGAAGGGAGGTTCCCACTTGACCACCCTGCTGATGTTCTGGCTCTTGCAGCCCATTGGTCTACTCTACACGGTTGAGTTGTGGAAGCGAATAAGGGGCCATGATGTTGTAGGGAAGCTAGTATCGGTATAGTCACAACCTGGTTAGCCCACATAAACATAGCCCGGGTCTGTTGAAGGTGGCAACACTGTTTGGGTTGACTTCTTTGTAAGTAAATGATCGTGATCACTCTTTACATCAAAGTGAAATCATTTATAAGTGTCCTTGATGGCGACCTACTTTAACTCATTTTCAGAACAACAATGCTAACCCTCGTCTCTCTCTCTCTCTCTCTCCATCACAGGGAAACAAGAAGCTGTGCCCGCAGTGCAACACCATCACCTCACCTGGAGACCTGAGGCGTGTCTACTTGTAAAGAGCACACCCCCACCCTGCCCCTCCCGACCTGCGCCGCCTCGTCCTGCCAGTCCATTCCCCCCTTCTCATTTTGGAGTTCACCGCCCTCCATGTCGATTGTCATGTTTTCTCCTCTGTCCCGGGCCAGGCTCAGCAGCTCCAAACCACCCCTCCAAGAGCGCACAGAGACGAGACAGCCGTCTTTAAGACTCATCAGACTCTTTCAGGAGGTTCAAACTGAGAGCTGACTGCCTGGCCACCAACACAAAAAAAAAGAAGAAAGAAATGACAGAGACTTGAAACCTCACAGATGGACAGGCTTTTTCCCCTGCCTCGCTGACATCACCTCCTGTACATGTAACATGGGATGTGCACTGAAGGACCTTTATTCAGTGGAGATCCCCGACACCCAGCTCTAAGCCCTGCAGAGATCTTCATGCAGCCGGGGCTGGAAGGAACTTCCTAATACAGAATATAAAGACTACTTTTCCCCACTCTAGCTCTTCTTCGACATTTAATTGGTGCTGAAGCTTCTTTCTTTTTTTTCTTATTCGTTCCTTTTTTCCGAAGTGAAAACGTATCTTCACGGCCCTGTTGAAAGGAGAATTAAAAAAAAAAAAAAAAAAAAAGGGTCTGCCCACTAAAACTGAGCTTTCAACCAAACTGAGAATAACCTCACAACCTTGAAAAGGAGTGTGACACTCCTCCTCTCCTCCTCCTCCCTTTGTTCCCTCTTTTTGTGGTGTAATAGTGAAGTAAACCAAAATTTTCCCTCCTTCAAGATGCAGTGCAAGCACATGTAATATAGTTCTATGTATGTTTACAATGTTGGGTGTAAATGACATAGAGTCCACACACACACACACACACACACACACGTACACACACTGCAGACACACACAGAAGTATATGATATCAAAGTACCTGTTTTTAGTTGGAAGGGTTTGGGAATGATGTTTTGGGGGAAAAAATGGCTGAAATAAAAAGAAGCCTTCTGTATTTTTAAAAAGAAGAAAAATGTTTGAAGGTCCGTTGAAGTTTTATTTCACTGTACAGGAATAAAAAAATCTAAATAATAATAAACTACTCAAGACTAGATGGTCAAGATTTAGGTGGTGTAATTTTTCTGCAGAGTACTGTGGGGGAAAAAAACAAGGAAAGACTTTTTTCTTACTTTGAAATGGTGAGTTTCTAATTCTGCAAACCAGCAGAATGATGCTCTTTTAGTTGCAACACTGTCCAACTGAGCCTTTTCTTTTGAACCTCCACCTCTGCTTCCACTCATCTGGAGTAACGTCAAGCTCAGATCATAGTCTAGAGGTGTTTTCTTTTACCCCGACATGTCTCAAAAAGAAAGCTTTTTTTTCCCATTGGTCCATCAAGTTGCTATGCTGCAAAAACATCCTCAAAATGGCAACCGTGAAGGGCAGCTTCTTTTTTAGCTAAAACAAAAATTGGAAGTCTCTTAAGAAAAACAAAGGATGGCCGAGGCTGAACTGGAAACCACCAGAACCTGCAGCATCCCCCCCCTCCCCCAACCCACCCCCTACTTCCCCTTTACGACAGCAGCAGCAGCAGCAACACAGGTGGTGGTGTGCTTTGTGTTTGTAAAACTATGTATTCTGTGACGTCTGTATTGTTGTAAGAAATGCTGAAAAAAAAAGAAAAAATAAAACTTCTCAAATACCACGAGTGCTTCTTTCACACCCGGAGGGGGCAATGACAAAGAAATGTTGTCATGTTCACCCAAGACAAAGATGGTCTTCAGGTGAAGAACAGGGATTCAGTGAATGAGATTTTTCTTTTTTTATTAGACTTTGTAGCCAGACTTGATTGTCTCCTTCCACCGTGATAGTATATGAAACAACTTCAAATGAACACTAGCATTTGCTTGATTCATTTGCATTAGGATTCCTTTTAACTGATGTTGAGTCAAACCTGTCACAGAATTCACATTCTGGGGAAATCGTTAAATAATCTACAATTTTACGAACAAAAGTCTGATAAATATAAAGGAAAAATACAATATTTCCCTTTGAAATGTAGTAGAGTACAAGTATAGGGTAGTGGAATAATGAAACAATGTATTGTAAGTCTTTAGTACATTGATTAATAAACCTACTAACTTTGTTTGGGTTATTTGATTGTGTAAATATTAGACTGGAGGTTGGAGACTTCAAATCAAGGCAACTCCTGGACCCTGGTCTGTTCCTGTAGCATGGGGGTCCTGTGACACCCCACAGTCAATGAGGACTCATATTTTTGACTTAAGGTCTTCTCATAGATCTGACAGAAAACAGACTATGTTGGTGCTGCTTTAACAAGCTTCAGTTCTTTCCTTGATTGTATAACTATCATTAAAACCTCAATGGAGCTCATCTGCTCACTCCTGCAGGCTGAGGGCTTGTAGAAAAGTGGCTCCCAACCTTTTCATTTGGAGCACCCCAGGGCCCACATGAAAAAAGGAATACATCGCTGTCAAAAATGTAATAGGAAATTGTAATTGTTTCTGATAAGAACATAATTTAGAGGTGTGGCTAAGAAGCCTGATATTTCTGAGTGAGGATATATTTTATACACAGTTTTATCTTAAGCGTTTAAAGGCGGGGTTGGTGATTTTCTCCAGATACCCTTTTTAAGATTTTGGTTGAAATTGTCTTTAGGTCCTGACAGACATTAATAATTAATGTGCTCTGAAAAAGGAACAAAGAAAAACAGTCATCTGTATCAGTTGTAAGCCTGTAAAAACTTTGACCAATGTCTGCCACGAGGTACCAATCTGATGAACCAATCATGCCTCCCTGTCTCCCTCTGAGGTCGGCTTCTGGAGCAACGGCGCTCTTGTGCATGTAAGTGAGGGGGCGTGGCTTTTGAAGCAGCACAGAGGAGAGTTGGTGGGTGCAGACGCAGCACTGAGGGAATGCTACTTTCAAAATCCTGCTAGTTTTCATAAATTACCAAACCTGCGTTTAAATAAATGATCCAGCGAGTGTGTTAACATTTTAGTAAGCATATGCAAATCTTATTTTGACAACCTCAAAGCAGACAGACCCTCATGAGTGCTGTCAGATGTTAAAAACAGTTTTATTGCATGGGAGGAAGCCACAGCAGACAGAGGGAGTCTGACTGTTTTGCAGTCAGTTTAGGATGGCATGAAGCCTGCTGGTTCTGCTGATCCCAGACCACCGTGTCTCATTTACATTCCTGCCCAAGAGGGTTCTGGGTGAATCCCATGGAATCATTGAAGGATCATTGAAGGTTCCAATTAATTTAGGAAGACAGAAAAATGACTTTATTACACGTATCTGTTCAAAGTCACCAAATATATGATGATAAAGACATCGTACAGATAATCAAGTCATGTCTCAACAAAAGCTTCTCTTCCAGCTGTTGTTCTCTCTGTACGCTAAAGGTTTTTAATACAAATTTAAAGTCACAAAACCCAACCTGAGGCATCATGATGACATCATAAATAGTGTCCCACAGCTAATTTTTTCCCAGGCTTTTCTGACAGGTTAATCTCGCTCTAAATATTTTGGTTAGAACCCCATAAAAACATAAAGAAATCACTCAGTTTTTTTATCACATTCTGACAAAATCTCTGGTAGCTAATAGGGAAGATAATTAATGTTGGTTTGTAGTGATCGGGGGCCGCTCCCTTTATGTGCCAAAGTCAAATGTAGAAAACAGCATCGCCATCTAGAGGACTGTAACACACAATCACTGACCTCCAACTCCACACGGCACATTTCCTCAGTCAGCCGAGTGCCAGATGGTGTCAGCAAGCCTGGAGGAAAGGTGTGTATGTGTGTGTGCCTGCTGACTCTTGTTAAACAATGTTATAGGACCCAACTCTCTGCCAAACATCAGAGCTCATTTAGCAGCCAGCAGCAACATTAATTGGCAAGAATTAAAACAGTGTGCTCTCTCCTACCACTTTTTGATGCTCAGATCTGTGTCCAAGCCTTAAACAAAAGCAGTATGTAGCCGACCAAGGTGAGGCCTTATTAGGCCCAGCCCTGCCCAGTATGTGCTGCTGTAAGTGCTGTCAGATGCTAATAAAGTTGTTCTGAATTAAGAGGAAACCACACCATGAGATAAACTCTGTAGAAGTTTCTGGAGTAGGCTAGTCACTCAAGACACTGACATGTTCTGTAAGTGAATATTAAACACTTTGCAATGTTGTTGTCTGTGTTTGCCATGTGCCCAAATGCAAAAGAAACTTCTGAATATGTCCCCTGTTGATTCATGCTTTTTGTTTGCTCCATCAGCATGTTGTTATCTGGGGATGTTTGTCGATGATTTGGGTGTCGCTTGGTAGAAATGAGGGGGAGATTTGAATTGTTTGGTGGCTCAGTTAGAGTGCTAGTCAGCCTAACATGGTATTAGCTAGCATGTTGCCAAGTTAGTAATGTAGAAGTGTGCACGGTTTCTTTCTCAACTAAATTGATGAATATGACAAGCATTGTTGTGTTTGGTAGGTCAAGCAGTTTGCAAGTTATAGACAGTTTTCTGGTAAAAGAAAAAGGCTGATGCTTGTTTCAGAGGGCTGTTGGTAAAATGTTTGGTTTTTCTGGGACTCTTGAGCACAACCTTTAAAGGCTTCTATGTGTCATTGTTACTGTTTACAGCATTGTCATTCTTTATATCCCAGTTTGAAACGTACGGAGCCCCTGAAGTCCCAGAAAGTAAAACAAATAAATAAATAAATCTTACTTCTCGGGACATGCTCAGAAGAAAAGGAAGTGCCCCTCAAAATAACATTAGCAGTAGGCCATATAACATGCAGGGTCAAGCCAGCTGTGTAATGTAAAGGTATGGTTTGGGACCTGATATAGGGTACAGATTTATGATGACACAGCCTGATATCCTACCTATGTCCCTCCAAATAAAATGTTAAAACATTGAACAAATGGGCTTCCAAATAAATGGTTTTAGCACTGTGGTTTTAAAGTTATGACTCTTCAGTCGAATCTTCAGAAAACCAAAAGTAATGAAACAAATTTCACAAACTTAAATGAAGTCCTCCTCATCATGAATTCACACCTTTGGATTTAAAGCAGTGGTCAGCTTTCATTGACCCGTACATAGGCTAAATGTTTTCTAAGTCTTATACCTGCATTTAAAAAAACTCTGCCTCTAGTGCCCCCAAGTGGTTAAAAACCACAGATTTAAGGTTGTTCCAAAGGATTGTGATTCTTCTACAAAGAAAAACATATACCGTTTTAAAAGGTATTAAAAGGTGTGTGTGTGTGTGTGTGTGTGTGTGTGTGTGTGTGTGTGTGTGTGTGTGTGTGTGTGTGTGTGTGTGTGTGTGTGTGTGTGTGTGTGTGTGTGTGTGTGTGTGTGTGTGTGTGTGTGTGTCCTGTTGGCTTCTTACGAACACACACACACACACAGTCTGATCAATATAATATGGCTCTCCCTGGCCGGTCCTCCTTCCTGCAGCACTCATAGACACCCGTATATTTATAATGCACATACACCGACTCATTAATACACACTCACAGTTTGCAACAAACGGCTTATTGATTTAAACACTGACTTACTTGGGGCAGAAAGAAGAAGATGGTGATATTGACCAGTTCAACTTGTGTGTGTGTGTGTGGCTTCACGTTGGGTGCCAGAGGTACTAGGAAATCTATTGAGGAGGCGCCTGCAGAAAGAGGAAGGAAATTGAACCAGTTAACAGAAGAACCCCCTGAAGGCTGGTTCAATGCCATTAAGGCCATTTAAGACATCAACCAGCTCCACCCAAAACCACCAGCAGAGCTGCCATGGTGTTTGTGTTCTTTACTCCTTACTAATTCTGTTTGATGAGTGGCTTGATTTTAAAAAAGCAGGTACATTGCAGAAAATGGAAATGTGGTTAAGGGAAACTTCTTCAACTTGACTTGGGTCTTATGTAGATTTACATTTAAATCATCTCAAGGAATGTTAGATATGTGAGAGAAGGCTTAAGATATCTGTTAATATTTAAAAAAAAACATTTTTATTATCAAACCACACGTCATCTACGGTTGTTCAAATACTAGAGTACTAAGTATTATGTTGAATATTTTTTAGATTTAATGATACTTCATATATATCAAAAGG